GACTGAAAAAGGTGAGACTGTCGGAGCTAAGGCGTGTGATGCTGCTAATCGAAGCACTTCTGACACAAGAAGAACTCAAGCGAGCTCGTAGCTCTTCTGATGCAGCAGGGCTTTTATTCGAGCAGATTAAAGGCCGTCTTCCGTTCGCGTCATCTTCAGGTAAGGGGAGGAGTCGAAAGTTGGATCAGTTGTCGTGGCGAACGTTAGCACACGAGCTTAAGGCATTACATAATTAACCTCTTGCCTTTTATCCAGTTGCATTGTTTGTTTGTCGTTCAAAATTATTATAGTGCAAACTGCACGGCGATTTCTAGTACAACGCTTATACTAGACTTTTGTATACCCGCCATTTTTGCATGTTAGGAATTCACTGTGCATTTTGCACGGCAATTTGAATAGAAACCGCCAGATTTGCACGGCGTTTTCTCTAGAAGTAGTAATTTCTTCGTAGTGGATGAACAAAACTGATCAAAAATTAAAGCAATGATTGAGGCTATTTTTATAAATGAATCGAGATCTGAGCCAATATTCTAAACGAGGCAGCGACGCTTCGGTAAGATTTGGCACTTCAGCTTTCACAGACGAGAAGGTAAACGAGTGCGCTTGTGACGTACCATTCGTAACTTACATTAGTTGTGACGGGGTCACACAGCACCTTGCGCTGAGGAAGTAGGCTTCCTCTAGAGTAACAAACGCTAAATGAACGACCGTTCACGTGTCCCTGGTTTGAGTACTCACTTGAGGGTACGATTGTTTCCGGGATGGCATTCAGAAAAAATAATTTTAATGTTTTTTTTTCTTCTGAATGCCATCCAACGGCAAGCGACTGTGATATTTAGATAACAATATATAACTGTATATTAGTACAGTCAAACCTCTGTAAATGGACACTCTTGGTGACCAAATTCAGGCGTGACTCCTGTAAGATTATTATGTGGTTTACATAACAAAATCCCGCATTGTTTTCTGCTGTTTTGCTTTCAACGTAGTCTCCCGAACCAGAGTGGTGACCGTTGACCATCGCGCACAGCATCGTCTTCTACAGATCCACCCTCCCCACACAACGTGTGCGAACGAATTCCGTTGCGCTTCTTGAACTTCTGAAGCCAGCCGTTGCTGAGACGGAGTTGCTTGGCGTCAATATTGAACCTTTCAGCCAGTTCGCGCGCCTTCAGCAGCAGAATGTCGTCCGCCATGGTTTTTTTAGCTTCATTTTTGAATAATAAATCCCTCAGTTTGCGCTCAAATTGAGGAAATTTACACGGCGACGCTTGGTTGTATCCAGGTCAACGTGGCTAAAAGATTCAGGTTGCAGAGATCGCAACCATCCCAGTGTAGCTCGGCTGACGCGGGCATTGAACGTCTGGTAGATCCACTCGTCGAGCAAGGGGTTTGATAGGCCAGGGGTTTGCTGAAGCTTTAGGTGCACGCGTAGCTTTTGCTCGAGCGTTAGACAGGTGCGCGAAGACATGGGTGAATTGTTGGTAGGAGGGGGGGGGGGATTCTGCGTCGGAATGTTCTTTGGAGAATGTGCGGTCCTTGGCATCGTGTATCATATAAAGAGGTAAAACCCATTTTGGTTCCCAAAAATGTGACTCATATACCATGTTCGCATATAAAGAGGGAGGTTTACAAACAGTAAGTGAAATTTTTGGTTGCAACGCATCGTGCATCATATAAATGTGAGGACTCATATAGAGATCATATAAAGAGGTTTGACTGTAGTAGAAGAAGTAACAGTAATACTAAAGTAAATGTGCAATTTATTTTTATTAAATACTAGCAGTATAGTATTTTTGCATCGAATAATATTATCATTGAAATTTGGGGTTTTGTACATCAAATATCCCACCACCCCACACTACTTCCACAATCGTAGCGCTGACAAAATGATGCGCCAAGCAGCAATGGGCTTCGCCCGATGCGCCTCGATGACCCGACGCTCCAGCGCATTACTGAGCGGCAACAAGTTCTCAGTGCGCGCATTGGCTACTAGTGGTACCGATATGTGCTACCTATGATCTCCATTAACACACTCGACATAATACCTGACCTTCCTACCACAGAACTCGAGTGGATGAAAAACCGCGACCCGTACTGCAACGTGGGTGAGTCCATTGCAGCCAAGATCGGCGTGAGCTTGCACCGCCAGCCGAACCACCCGCTGCACATTATCAAGACCAAGATCGAAGGTTATTTCGACAACCTGCACCAGAACCACGGGTACGTTTGCAGCTACAAACCCCCCATTGGGATAGCAACAATGTTAACGCAGTGACTAATTCATATTGTTTTTTTTTGGTGCAATTGCCTTTGTCAGCGCACCAAAGTTCACGGTCTTTGACGATCTGGACCCCGTGGTGACAACGTATGACTGTTTCGACTCGATGCTCGTGCCTAAGGACCACGTGAGCCGCAAGGTCACGGACACTTATTACGTGGACCAGAACCGCGTGCTACGTGCGCACACTAGCGCACATGAAGTGGCCACCATGAAGAAAGGCTTCACGTCGTTCCTGGTCTCAGGCGACGTCTACCGTCGCGACGAGATCGACGCTAGCCACTACCCAGTGTTCCACCAGATGGAAGGCGTTCGCATCTTTTCCGAACTGGATGCAGCTACGCCACGCGAGGAGAAGGTGGCGCATGTAAAGGAAGAACTGAAGAAGACGCTGGAGGGTATGGCGAAGGAGCTCTTCGGTAACGTCGAGATGCGCTGGGTAGAGGCTTATTTCCCCTTTACGGAGCCGTCACTGGAGCTCGAGATTTACTTCAATGGTGACTGGCTCGAGGTGCTCGGCTGCGGTGTGCTGCAGCAGGAGATTGTACGCAATGCTGGCCTGGGTGAGAACGTCGGCTGGGCGTTTGGTCTGGGTCTGGAGCGTCTTGCTATGGTGCTGTTCGACATCCCAGACATCCGTCTCTTCTGGTCTCAGGACAAGCGCTTCACCTCGCAGTTCAAGGACGGAGAGATCACAAAGTTCAAGCCGTACAGCAAGTATCCCGAGTGCTTCAAGGACGTGAGCTTCTGGCATGACGACACTTTCCATGAGAACAACTTGTGCGAGGTTGTGCGTGACATTGCCGGCGACATGGTCGAGCAGGTGTGTTTGCTGAATTGCTTACGAGTTAATTGTCTAATTGTATCAATTCTAACGTGTGTCCACCTATCTGTTGCAGGTGGCTATCGTGGATGAGTTTACGCACCCCAAGACTCAGCGCACGAGCAAATGCTACCGCATCACGTATCGCCACATGGACCGCAACCTGACAAATAGTGAGGTTGACGAGATCCAGGAGATTGTCCGTGCCAAAATGGTTAAGGAGCTTGGCGTTGAGCTCAGATAGTGGCCTTTAGCTTGGTGCTGAGTGACCAAAATGGAATGGATAAGTCTGCTCTGCTGATGGTGAAACATGACGGAAGCAGTAAAAGCATAATAATCAACAGCGGAGTGCTAGTGAACTCGACTCAGAATGCGCCAGTTTTGGAGAATTTCAGGCTTGAATTTTTTGGAACCGTTTTCTATTGCTGAAGTGTGACAAGGAAATGTTGAAACGGAAATAGTGAGTGAGGAGGCGGTCCGGATTGAAGACGAAATAAGTCGCACGGTAGTGGCAGGCACGATTTGGTGCACAGTGTCAGGATGGAGGAAGAGAACCAAGCCACTACAACAGGAGACTGGAAGCGGAGGTTTCAGAGGGAAACAAAGGTAGGCGCGGAGTTTGTTATCGTCGCAACTGTGAAATGTATAGTTCTGACGCCTGCTTTTTACTTGAAGGTCAACAAGGAACTCGGCCGACGGCTACGCGTAAGGAAATGTCCTAGGTTTAAATTCCTCGAGGACAATTGCAGGCGCTTTAACCTTGTGGATAATGCTCCTCTTTGTGCGTCTGCCTCCTTACTGACGCAGGAAACGAAGCACCAACTTGAGGAAGAAAAACTGCGCTCTCAGGAGTTGGCTGCTCAATTACGGCATTACAAAAGACATCAACATTTAGACGAGAAACCTGATGTGCGGGTGCAACGCCATTGTATTCTACATAAATTAGTCGGCTGACAATTGTTTGTGCGTGTTAGAAACAAAATGGCGTGTGTTCCAACTGCGAGCGACTCGAAGTAGAAATCACCAGGCTCAAACGCATTATCGTCGATGCAGGCTATGTGACGAAGCATGAACCGCTTTCCACCTCAATTACGATAACATCCGACGGCAGTCGATTTGAAATTGATGAAGCCACTCCAGAAAACCACTGCTCGGAATTCGAAGAAGCAGATACTAACGGATTCCAAACACCAAAAGCAGAGTGCAATTCGCCAGTGCTTCATGAAAACCACTGTCCATCAAGCCCCGTTAAACCGCTACCACCTATTTCATCTGCCCAATCCGAGGATACTTTACGGATAGAAGAACCCGAGCCGGATGAAAGCAACCAGACTGACGACGACTGCCACGTTTTCTCAGACATTGACGACTCGTCCTTAGGTGATTTATTCAAGTACGCAGTTGTGTTGGCAGGACCTGCGCCTGCCAAGCCCAAGGTAAAACCACGGTTATCCTTCACAGATCGCTTCAAGCCTTTGGAACTTCCACGCACACGGAATCCTCAAGAGAGTATGGAGCAGATTGAGCATCAAGAGAGTCCAACCGATAACTCCAGTCGTCCGCGAAGTGCACCCGTAGGGAAGAAGAAGCCAGCATCTCCAAACGGAGGCAGTATATGGTCATTGAAACGCCAGTCACAAGCAATACAGGACGAGGAAAGAGTGTCATCTCCGTTGAGACGAGCAGCAGCAGGATTCTTTTCCAACCTTGGTTTGCGGAGTGGAGGCCCTTCCAGTGCACCATCCACGCCCCCACTTCCTCCTCCACCAGCTCCAGTTAAGGCTAGCACTCCACCGCCACCTAGTCCTCCCCCAGCGTCCAAACTTCTTTGTGTATACCCACCACACGCTGGAGAAGTGCAAGAACTCGAAGGTTTATTGGAGATCTGTTTCCCGTACGGAGAGGAGCCTCCTCTTACAAGAGATTTCTCTCTTGCACAACTCAAGCGTTCACTACAAGAGCGACATCGGACATATCGAAGCCCAGACTCCACCTTTGTATTGACCATCGCTAGTGCCAGTAACCCGACAGAAATCACGTACGCTATCTGCGTGCGATGTCCATTATTTCCAGACAGAGAAGACGACGATTGCGAGCCTGCAGATTCGAAATCTGGGGAAACACAAATGCTAGCGGACGGGCCGACTCAGTGTTGTCTGTGTTTGCTGAGTCCGTATCCGTTCTTCGGGTTATTTTTCAAAGTGTTGTACGGCATAGCAGTTCTCTGGAATACGAAACGAAGAGAAGCTATGACGGCTAAAAAGGATAGAACATCGGACAGTATGACTACGATGCTTGAGAAACCATTGGGTATGCTGGACTTTGTAGAAGTATTTCAAGGTGTTATGGAGCGCTTAAAGGAGATGCAGATCCCTTCGATGGGTGGCTGGAGTCGTATGGTTCTCTCACCGAAAGTCACACGCTTGGCATTTCATCGTCCACACAGTGAGAGTCTAGTGGTAGAGCGAAGACATTTGCTACTGGAATACGCAGCACCAACTCTTTTCGGTTTACTATCAGTGGATCAAGTACTGTTTTTGCTAGGATGTTTGTGCTCTGAGCGGAAAGTGCTGGTGGTATCCGATCACGTTAATATCGTGAGTTCCTGTGTGCTTGCACTGATCACATTGCTCCATCCATTGCAATGGGCTGGTCCAGTAATTACAGTATTACCACCGCGGTTAGATGAACTTTTGGAAGCTCCTGTTCCCTTGATCGCTGGACGGGTGTCGATCAAGTGTGCTTCAATACGGAATTTCTCGACGCTGGATCGGCCCATGAAAGATGTGATCGAGATGAACATGGATCAAAATTCACTACATATGCATGATGAAGACTTGGTCACGTACCACGAGCTCAAACTCCCTGAATGCGATGAGTTGGTCCACGAGCTCGAGCCTTACTCGGCCTTGCTCTTTGGGAAGCATGAGGCTCCTGACTTCCCAACTGTTCAGCAAGACGAAGCGTGCAAGATAATGTGCGCTAGGATCCATCACCACATTGAGTCAATCTGTGCTCTTGCAATGGCGGAGAAGGACACAACCACTCTAATCAAGGACGACTATTTCGATACGCAGTCGGATCACGTTTCTTCAGCTGATTCGTCTCCATCAAGGGGGTCAATCACTCGCTTAGGGGCCGATAGACGCTGTAGTGCCATGGTCGCAGACTACATCAACCGTTTCCAAGGAACTCAAATGTTCAGCATGTTCAACCTACAGGTCCAGGATGCACAGAACGAAAGTGACGAAGGTGATATTATTGATCGGGATGACAGTGAGAATGACGGACATGTTGAGGAAGAGTATCATTATAGCGGAAATTAAAGTAGCATGCTAAGTAAGCGTCTGATAGAGATTAGTGACGCTGAACTCAGATATCAGGAAATCTAATTCTATCTTTTGTAGCGATCTGTTTGTTGATTATTCGTGGTGTGTTGAAATAGAAAACTGTGAAACGACGTCGTACTCCAAATTGTTTCATCTGCCATTCGTGCGTTGTCACTGCTCGAGTCAAGTAGCACCTTAGGACGCCATGCTCCATGCTTCAAGTAAAATCAAACCAAACTTGTTAGCACTACTTGCTCGACAAATCTTGCTTGTGTTAATATGTTGGCAGGTGAGTGCGTTCACGGAGTCTCAACTAGATGATCATGTGTAGTCATCTCATACCCACTATTGCAGACATTAGTGCCGACGTCGACACGTGCTCGTGTCGCTCCTAACCAGCTTTTAGGGACTTGCTTCGACGATGACTGGGTAGCTTCAATTTCAAACAATTTATCAATCTCCGCTACAGACCGTGATTCTTTCGGCACGTTGGTAAACCCGTACCTGCACGGGGCTCTGAGCACTCCGCGTTTCCGTGTGGGCGACCAACGAACAGCACACGCTCGTGACCAATTGTTTCAGTCAGATTGTATGCCTTCTGATTCCGTCTTCTACGGTGTCGGTGCTCGCATTGATAGCGACGGCAATATCATTGAGTCAGGACGTGTAAACGGCACTCTTGTGATGGAAATCGATACTTGGAGCTCACATTCACTCTCAACTTTAGTTGTGGCTATCCTGGCACAGGAATTGGTACGAACAAACGTAGTCATCTATCATTTCTCTTGATAACTTACTTTGTGGTGTCCACAGTTGGGTTATGAGGTTTCTTTCTTCCAAGCTTCTGGGTCAGCAGACATGACTCAACGCATGTCTTCCGTTGGAACTGGCATTTGCTCACCAACTCACGTTAACGTAGAAGTTTGGTTAGATGCAGCAACCCAGCGCGCTCTTGCAGCCTATTATAACGAGTCTTCTTTCGTAGGGAGCGTTGGGTATGACGGTCTTGCTGGGTTATTCACTAGCACCTCTTTGATCGAGGCTGGCCTCAGTGCAACGCCAGCATATAGCGCAGATTTCTGGCGAGATTATCGCGAGAAAGACGCTCTGATTCGCGAGCTACGCGCCTCAATTCTCTTCAACAATGCTGCTCATTATCCACCAAAAGAATCAGGGTGTGCGGATGATGCATTAGGCTGCAAAGACTCGTGCTCCAAGTCCGAAGCTTGTACAAAACGTGAAAGCAATGGTGGTGAATGTCTCGTAGTGATTATGATGGACGCGTCCTACGATGTTGGATATCTACAGGCCTCTCTATCAAACAACGATATTCCAGCATATTTTTGCTTCCTTGGCATCAGTGGAGCAGCAAAATACGTATCGGAAGCGCTAGCAAGCAACACGCCAGTAGCCTTTTACAATTATCAACCAGACGAATTCTTCCAACGCCACTCTGGCCAGGTCGAGAGGGTAGCATTGCCATGGGCTACTCCTGAACGAACGGCAGTGAACACGGGTAGTTTTGGTGAGAACGGCTATGGTGAACCTACAAGTAACCCTGTACGTGTCGATTTCCCTCGAGTATTACTTGGCAAGTATCTCGCCAAGATACTGACATCAAATGTTGGAGGCATAGCCAGCCTCATGAATATGTTAACGATACAAGAAAAGGATATGGACAGCTTACTCAGTGGGTATAACGACATGCGTGATGCTGGTGCTCTCTCGCAAACCGAGTCTTACTTTGCTGCAGCTTGTAATTGGCTTCGTAAACCAAGGAACTATCATATTTGGAGTCAGTGGCTGGACCCACTACCAGACTGTGAATACGATATTCATTTCAGCTTCACGTTGGAAGGATGCGACTCCAGCAAAGAAGAAACTTTTCCTCGACGCGCGAAATTCTACTGGAAATCACCACGACCTGATAATATCTCCCTACCTTATACTTGCGACCCATACCATTTGCCAAACTCAGGACTACCTGACACGTTGGTCACTAGTCGTTCCTGTTCGTGGCTTGTTGAAAACACCAACACGTGGCTCATTTGGGTATCACTGGGTACGCAGCCGATTTGTGATACGAGTTTTTACACATACGATGTCTCGGAGTGTACGAGTTTTGGACACCGTGAGGTGACATTCCGCTGGCTGCTCCCCGATGCAATGAATGCCACGTTTTCAAGCGAGTGTACCGACGGTAAAGCTCTGCCAGACCCGGTACTTATCGACTGCGAATACGTCCCCTACAACACTGCAGCGTCCAAAGCGGTGTTTGTACTAGCCTGTTTGTTTGCATGCGTCATGCTGGGATGCATAGGCTTCGTGGTGTATGAACGCGAGCAACCTATCGTCAAGCGTTCACAGTATCAGTTTCTTGTGACGATGCTGCTTGGAGGAGTGCTCATGTGCTACGCTACTGTTATTTACAGTGGTGAGCCGTCTCGAATAGTGTGTGCACTACGTCCAATGTTGATATCATGGGCTTTTACACTGATCTTCGGCTCACTCGTGGTCAAATCCATGCGTGTGTACCGAGTATTTCTATCAAGCGCTATGAAACGCGTGGTGTTGTCTGCTGGAACTATGATGAAAGTGCTCGTTGGGTTCTTGATTGTGGACATTGTGATCTTAGTATCTCGGCAGCTTGTATCTCCATCCAATGCTATTGTGAAGGCTGAAGCGGTCTCTGAAATTGGCGGATTAGTTGTGGATCGCGTGCGGTGTGCATCCAGTAGCTCGGTCTTTGTGGGACTTTTGTTCATCTGGAAGGCAGTGATGCTTTTCGGTGGGTTGTACTTGTCCATTTTGATCCGCAAAGTCTCGTCCGATTTTCAGGAGTCTGTGTGGATCTTTGCATCCGCCTGTGTCGTGCTGTTTTCAAGCCTCCTACTGCTACCGATGGGTTACTTTGTGACGCTCTCAGCCATAGCATTCTTCCTTTTCTTCTCCTTCATCGTATTGAGTGCCACTATGCTTGTCATGGGACTCATGTTGGTACCCAAGATGCTGCGGCTACATGATCTGGCTGCGAGTGGAGCGAGCGAGGTGTCAAAAACAGTGAGAGAAAAGCAGACCGCGTCGTCAGGCTCAGAAGACGACGCACAGGTAGCTCCACTACCACTGCGATCGGGGGTCAGTGGAGGAAGCAGAACCAGCAGGAGCAGCAAGAATATTAAGATGAGCAACAATAGCAAGAGCACTAAAAGCACTAAAAGCGGCAAGAAGGACTCCATCCGTGTCAGCCTCCGCGTTCCAACAACCATCCGAAAGACCTCAGCCAGTGTGAGCGCTCTGAACTCCACACAGGTCACAACATTCTCACCGACTCCTATGGGGCCGAGACCTCCTTGGAAGTGGAAAAAGCCCGACGACACGACCAGTAGAGCCAAGTAAATGACATGCACCTCAACTTCCGATCACCGCAAAGTATCCATTTCGTAAATGATTGTGCCATACGACATGACCAATCACCGTCTAGCATTGATCATCCGCTCCTGCATCGAGTGTCCGCAATGAGGCTTCCTAGTGTCCTCTTCGGCTCGGCCGCGCGTCGTGGAGGTGCCACTCGCAGGTGCGATTGCTTTCAGTTGTGTGTCCGATCGACTGTAAAAGGGAGAGATAGAACTGGGTACTGATAAGAGAACTCGATGTCATTCGTGTCATTCTACACGTAGCAATGCGCTGACTCGCCGGGAGAAGAGCACATTATCGTATCGAGTGTTTGAGGACACAAGCGGCGGCAAAGAGCCGACCAAGACAGCGCTGGTGATGCACGGTATTCTGGGTACGAGATTATCGATATTAAGAGGCTGCTGGTGGAGTGACTGATAGGTGTATGTGGTGTTTGGAATGTAGGGAACAAGCTCAACTGGCGCACATTCTCGCAAAAGTAAGACAGAGGAATGTAAGGAAGACAGAGGATTTTGCTGATGCATTTGTGCTGGTTCAGACTGACGAAGGCGAACCCAGACTGGCGTTTCATCTGCTTGGACCTGCGTGGTGAGTTGTATGGGAGGGGAGTTTACTTCACAACGGGAATGATTGCTAAATGATATTTATTGTTTAGGCCATGGAGACTCGCCGTCGTTCTCAGAGCCGCACAATCTGCAGGCATGCGCCAACGATGTCTTGTACGTCTACAATCATCTAATTTTTACTCTGCTGGTGACGTCGTGCTCATTGTCTTCATATTATGTGCTTTGGCGATGAAATGTATAGAAAACTGGCTGCTCATTTGAAGGTGGAGCCGACGGCTGTGCTGGGACACTCGTTTGGTGGCAAGGTAGCGCTGACGTACCTGCAGCAGTGTATGCAACACGACCGCGCTCCACCTAGCCAAGTCTGGGTCTTGGACTCGCTCCCAGGAACAGGTACGAGTGATGCAATTGTGGTCAATAAATTTTCTCCAATATGGGATTACCTTTACGTGTACATCATTGTGTAGGTGCGACGGACTATGCTAGTCGTGACCTCACCAACTCGATTGAGACGATTCTACCAGTCGTTAAGAAGATTCCGTTGCCTATTCGCTCCAAGGCGCAGCTTATTAAGGATCTGCAGAGCCATGGCGTTGCGCTTGGTGAAGCGCAGTGGCTCACCACGAACCTTCGTTTAACCAGCAAAAGCCCGGAGCTCTACGAGTGGAAAATGGATGTCGATGCCATCGAACAGCTCTTCCGCTCTTTCCTTGCCTCGGATCTTTGGCCAGTCGTGGAGAACCCACCTGCAACGGAGGGCAAGGACGTAGAGATTCACTTTGTACACGCCTCGAAAAACAACATGTGGACTCCTGACCTACTCGATCGTCTCGATGCTCAGCAGGAAAACCAGGTTTATCATCATTTACTGGAAAAGTCTGGACACTGGGTACACATCGACAACCCTGTTGGGCTCATGAAGATTATCCAGACGTACATGCTGCAATAGATTGCGAAACGGACACGGTACGACAAGTCGTGATGAAATACTACGGGATGTTTTACCGTGAATACAGGCAATATTACGATAATTGTCGACTCATTTGTCTTGCCATGTTGAGATCTTTAACGACCTGTGTCCCTCAACAGATCTCACCATCGTATCACCTGAATGACATTCTGCTATGGAAAAACTATGGCTCACTTTTAAATTGTCCCCGAGTGTTCTAGCGAAAATCAAGCATCGATCGGCTCTATGTGGCTGCTGAAGCACATACCGCTCGTGCGCATTTGCCCAGTTCACGTGATCGTTATCCAGTGGTGTCGTATCGCCTTGCGCAGCAAATACAAACTGTATGGAGGCCTTTGTTGCAAACTTTTGCAGTCACAACAGATCAGGCTACTGGCAATTCGTGCTCTCGAAGTCCTACTTGCGTTATTGACACGGAGTTATTTGGTGGTGGAGCGTGTCTGTGACTGCGATGTACGATACAAAGACTTCGAATTATATAGCTCCGGCGATTCTAGTGGAATGGGTGACATCCACGCTCACTGTCGACGCTTGTGCGCTGATCGTCGGTTGTCGATACTCTGTTTATCCTGTCACAGCTCGAGTTCGACTAAGAGCTTCAGAGCAACATCAGGAATGGAGCGCTCACTGACAATCGACTTTTACCCAGACGCTTTGTGCTTTGGCTTCGAAAAGTCGATACTGACTGTGGTTTCACCCCGAGCCAAAAGCAACATGTTCATCAGCTCCGAAATTAGAGGCACTAAGGTTTTCAAAGCGTACTGAGACAAGATAGTTGAAGTGTTTAGCAGTCGGTATCTGTAGTCTAACATTCTATTAATATCGCTACCGATTTTACGCTTGAAATGTGGATGATTAAAAGATACGCGAAGCGACGCTCTTCGACTGTCATGGTGATGCTCTTCTCTCTGTTGCTGCTGCTCCTCGACAGCGCCTTCAGTGCGCGTTCGCCACCTCAATTGCCCCACCAGTTCCAAGCGGAGGTGCACGTTTTGTCGCATCTTACCGATCCTCGTCAGGAATATCCACCGTCAATGGGTAGGATGAAGGTCCAGTACGACTTTGACCAGCAACTCGCAAGAGCCGAGATGCTGGAAGGATACAACGCAGGTAAAACCTTCCTGCGACGATATGACCAAGTAAGTAGCATGTAGAGACGCAGCACTGTTGTTGCATGATTACTGAAGATTTGTGCTTAGAAACAAGAATTCATGGTCAAGAGTGGAGAGTTTCGAAAGTGTGAACGTGCCTACTTGGGCGACGCCATGCCAGTCCCAGAGATCCCCTTTGCTCAGGAATTTGTGGTGCGTCTAGCTCGTTATAAAATATGATTTTGGTTGACTAACTGGCCTTGTAGGCTATGGAAAGCGTGAGAGGGAAAGTCTGTGAACATTGGGTGCACGCACATGACAATGTTCGCGTGCATGTGTATAGTGACGTCTCAACCAATGGTACTAATATGATCAAAGCCCATGCAGGAGGTCGTAGAGATAATTAACTTCTTTCGTTTTTGGGCTTTGTAGTTCCGATTCGGCTAACGGAAGAAAATGTCATTGATGGGCAGCCAACGATGCTGCAGACGTTTGACTTCCATAACGTACACATTGGGCCGCAAAATGTGTCTAGCTTCGCAATTCCAGACGGATACGAACGAAGCGACTGTGCACGAAACGTGGGAGGTTTCCCCTACATCCACGCTTTTCACTACTACCTACGATTCTAATTTTCAGAATGCACGGAGTCGCGATGAATAAATTGTTGCTTATCGACACGCCTGGTCGACGTTCCAAACAAAATGCACTTTACCACTTTTGCGTGTCAGCAGAGCCTTCCAACAACTATGTTTATCTCCAGTATTCCCCTGATCCGCCCATGTATCCTCCATTGTTTTGTTGTTGGTGCTGTTGTTGCTGCTGCGTGGGATCGAAACCCAACTGCCGCCCGCCCAGAGGAGGCAGACCCATGCTGTTGTCCTGCTGACCCATAGCAGAGTTGCCGTATCCTGTAGTACCAAACGCGTTGCCGTAGTTACCGAACTGGTCGCCGTAGTATCCTGCAGTGCTTCCGTAGTTGTAGCCACCAAATCCCATGGCCATTCCAGTCGTGTTCGTGTTGTTCATGCTTGCATCTTCCGGTTCAAAGCCCTGGTGGTATTGCTGCTGAGGAGGGGCCAAGTGGTGCATCTGCATTTGTTGCTGAGTCCGATACAAATCTTGGTATGTGGGCGGCTGCAACTGCTGCTGTTGCATCTGTTGCTGCTCTTGTATCTGCTGGTTCTGCTGACTCACAACCTCCTTCATAATGTCCTGGGTAGAGTGGAAAGCGGCATTCAGCAGCGCCTGCGTTCCATCGGGGACGTATTCATCTCCGCCAGTCTGCTGATTAACATCAGTTGCGTCAGTATCGTCTTCAACTTGAAGTTGTTGCTGAGAATACTGCTGCATCGACTCGTCCGGTCCAGGCTGTTGATGCATGGCAAAAATATCGGCAGCGATGGCAGCGTGCTCGTCATTGACAGCAGCTTGGGGAGCTGCGCCATCGACAGCTCCACTGCTCTCACCAGCATTGGCAGCCGCAGCTGCAGCGTTCTTCTCCTTCTCTTTGGCCTTTTCCTTCTCCTTTTCCTTCGCCATTAATTTCTGTTTCTTCCGCTCCTCCGCCTTCTGTGCCTTTTCCGATTCAATCTGCTTCACTTCATTGATATCAATCATCGAGATACGACTTCTCTGTCGCTTGAAGCGTCCAGCATCTGCCTTCCGTCGGATCTCCGACGACAATTCCGTCAGGTTCTTCTTCTTGCCCACCGGAGGTTTCGCCGCCGGTGCCAACCTCGTCGGCGCTGTTGAAGCCGCAGATGTTCCTGGTCGCGCCATCTGCGGCCGATGCAGCGGCTTCTTCACAGGCGACACGCCCACCTCGTCCTCCTTCCCATTGGCATCGTCGTCCTCCCCACTCACCGTGAAGTGTGTGGCTGCCGTCGGTGCCACCTGTGGACGCAACGATGGATTCAAAAGTCCGTTTTCTAGCGAGAAAAAGTCGTCCATTGCCACTTGTGACGAGCTACTGCTGCGTCGCTTTGGAGTAGCAACCGCTTGCACCACTTTAGAGGCCGTGGCTTCGAGCTGCGCGTGTAGATACGAGTCGTTGGGCTGACCATCGGCTTGTAGTATCCGAAACTGCTTAACGATACCGGCGCTGACCTTGACCCACTCCTCGGAGTCCTTATCTGCCAATTGCAGTAGCGCATCCACCTCCTTTTTGCCCGCAGCGGCATCCGCTTCATCGCGACGGACACTCAGGAGTGATAAGAGTAGGCGGACCTACACATATGTGCGGTTTAGTAAAGGGTCTTTAATGGCGATGTAGTATTTTACCTTAATGGGTGTCTCCAGGTGCGGGAAGCTGGCGCGCGCCTCTGCGAGCTTTGAGGGAGTCAACAGTCCGCCGAACTCGTGCGAGCTCCACTCCTGTCGAAGCTTCTGCAGCATCCAGGCATCGAATGATGCTGTCGGGTCCGCACGCGCCGAGGGGGGAGTCGATGCCGTTGCGGGCACCACAAGCGTGCTGACCTCCATCGCCTGTTCAGTTTTTGGAGAAATGATGTGTTATTTAACAATTTAACCGATATGTGAAATTCAGTAACGGAAATGAAAATGGATGTACCGTTTTTGTTTTTAGGTGGACCATTTAGTGTCCTTGACCAACGACCTTCACTCTTGATCGCAGTGATTGGGCAATAATAAGGTATCGGGACAGCAATAATGAGCTCGAGGAGCAGCAAGTTCGGCACCATCAACTACTCGGTGGACGAGATGCGGCGCCTGAACGTCAAGGTGCGTGCTGTACTGCCGCTAGCGGGCGAAGACTGGCTGTGCGTGGCCTACCAGTTCAATCACCAGCGTCCGGAGGCCGTGCCCTACCGTGAAGTGGAAAGTCTCAAGCGCAAATTTAAGAAAATGTACTGCACAAGGGGCAAGTCGCTGCCCGACTACGTTATGGAGGCTAAGGAACTGCGTAGACTCATCAGCCAACGCTTGGACAAGGCAACAGCCAAAGAGACAGAGACGGAAGCGGAGCAGGGGGCGAGAGATCTAACTCTTAAGCTACGGCAGATGGAGGACGAGTATCATAGGACGCTAGAGGAGAAAGGCACAGAAGTGGCGGAAGCTGTTGCGTTACAGGAGCAAGAGTTTCAGGTTGTGACGTCGACTTCGGGAGTTATTGCAATGTTGAGGAAGAGGGTGGAGAGGAAGCGATGCTTGGTGGAGGAACAGGTGCTGAATGAGAACACTCGTGTGCGGAGAGAACGCAAGAGACGAAAGATGGAGCAGGTGCTTCAATCAATTCAGCAGGAACACTGCGGACGGGAAGTGGCGAAAAATGGAAGTGCTGCAGTGACGGAGGCAGATACAGAGGTTTTGGAGACTGGAAATCTGCCACTGGACTGCCGGCAAAGTAGGCAGAAAGTTTTATCTGCGCTGTCCAGTGACACATCTGCAGTGCCGCCATTATCAGCGTCGCCCCACCCTACGAACCAACCGAGTTCAACACAGGATACGTCGCTTTGCATGATGGAACTGCTGCTGCAGTTTATGACAGCACAACAAAGGGAAAATGCTCAACGACTTGAAGTGGAGAGAGCTCGTCGGGAACAGGAACGGCGAGAACGTGAAGCGCGTCGACAGCAACAAGAACTGCAGCGACAGCGAGAACACCGTGAGCTTATGCTCGCTATGGGAGCGTTGATGGGTGATCGCTTTCCAGATTCGCTAAAGCATTATTTAAACAGAGAAGAGCAGCAACAACAATCGGGAACTCCAACGCCTCAGAACACGAATCTAGAAAACAGTGCGAGCAGGAATCGATCCACTGAGCAAAGGTCGTCCTTGTCAACTTCGCCAATGACAACCGACCCGCGCCGTACTAAGATGAGTGACAGCGTTGAGGAGAGCTGTGTCAAAACGCGTGTAGAGCATCAGGCTGGTGTTCAAGTCGACAAATTTAACGATGCTGTAACTCGGTGTGAGGGAACTGATAAAGTTTAGCTTATCATTACATTATGAAGTAAACAATGTACTAAGTACTGATAACATTGCTATCATCCCTAGCTACCAATTTCACGCCATTTACTCGCTCAGAAATCTTGATCAGAATCCGAATTAGTTTCCGAACCCGAAGCTCCCGATCCTGAACCAGATCCAGACCCAGACCCTGCTTCAGACCCTGAGTCATCATCATTGTCAATAAGTTCTCCAGAGTCTGCAAGCGAGACCTGATCCGAGTCCGATCCATCATGAGCGTTTCCCCCGCTTGGAAGACGTACATCACTTTCGTCACTTGAGTCGTCCTCATCGCTGCTCCCACTGCCACTGCCACTGATTCCTTCGGAGCTGCTGTCCTCATCAGAGCCGGCTCTCTTCTTCACAGCCCCGCGACCTTTTTGGTTGCTCCCCGAGACACTCGCTTGACGTGTTTTCCCTCCGCTATGTCTGCTATTGTTGTTGCTCTCCATCACATCCAGCATCGAGTTCTCAATCTGATCTTCCTGTTCACCTCGCAAAATGGCCAACTCATCATCACGGAATTTCTTCTGTAATTTCTTGAGCGATCTATCGTTCTCAGCAAGTTTCTTCATCTCGCGACTATTGTGTAGATCCAGCTCTCGTTGCAAGTAGTCAAGGTTGCGGAACCGTTCACAATAGATGGCATATTGACGTTCCAGCTCCTTCTCGAGCTTCTCGTACTCGTCCATAAACGCCGGACGAACGTGTTGCAAACTCTTGAGTCGTTTCTCACTACGTTCGAGATCTGTCTGCGCCTTCTTGATCTTCGCTGCCAGAGCTTTCTCTTCAGCATCCAGCTCTACCACTTGGCGCTCGGTTAACTCGACATTCTCTTGTAGACTGACCAAGATGTCTTGGATACTTCGCTCAAGGAACTTTTGTTCGCTCGAGTTTTCGTGCTTAGTGGAGAGTGCATCCAAGAAGCGGATTGCTTGTTGTCTTGCGTCTCGGACGTCGAGTTCTGTCTCCAGGAGGTCGTAGAGTTTGGCGCCGGACTGTGTGATGTCCGATGCGAGTTGACGTGTGGCCTTGGGGTCTTTTACGCGTGACCCTAGCAAAGACTTGATCGATACTTCGTCGTCGTCGTCGTCAGGTTCCTGTTGAGCAGCCAGATCGATCCGTGAAGCCTCATACAATACACGTGCAAGTTTGATCAGCTCCTTGACAGCGAAACCATCGGCTGCGTACAGCTTCTTCGGGTTAAGACGGATACGAGCTTTAGCCAGCACTTCGGTGGCCACCTGTGTTAAAAACTCAACTCGGTCGTCCTCTGTGTCGATTTCTTCGGTGATACTGGAACTTGGATCGTATTTCTTCACCATCCAGTAAAGCAGATCCGATACCAACTCGAAGTTTGGCGTGCGGAAGTTCTCCATCGAAATGGGGCGAGGATAACCCAGGGATCGCATCATCTCCGTCAGATTTCGCAGCTCGCGGAACGACATTGTCGACTTTCTAGCAATTGGTAAACTCACGTCCTCTCAACTGCGTTATCTTGCTCTCATCCGGCACCACCAGACGCCTTCGTGTCGTTTCAAAAGATCCTAGACCTCCGCCTTTCAGACTTCATCCTAGAATCTATTCTTGCGGGTATATCTGGCCAACATTGTGGCGTTTCCAGATGTACCACCCGTGTGAATGTACATCAGCTCCCGCTCATCATGTCTGGTAGAATGTCTGGGGTACGATACGCTGCTCTTGTTTCGATTTAGCACCTCGCCAAGCACTGATGGATCTGAGAACAGCGTGTGCCAAACAAACGCGCCGTAAACGAGGTCGAAGTCCACTTTTGTTTCCTGCAGAACCTCATGGTACATGTCATACAGCGGCCACCACAGCCGTCCGAAGCGGTTTTTCCTCTTCGGAATCAATATGCGAGGCAACAACGTCGTGTGTGGCTGCAGGGATGGATCTTCGTCAATAAGCTGTTGGAACTGTTGTTGCAGGTATGCAGCGTCGCCAACACAGGGGACTGCATACAAATTGATCTCTGGGTGTAGATGTTGTGACAAATACAGCGCGGTCGTACCCGTACCGCAAGGTAACACAACTGAGAACTGCTTGCATTGTGCCAGAACGTACTCATTGATCTCTTCGGCTAGCAGCTTGACGCCGTCCTGGGCCTCAGGAAATGCTGCTCCTTGTGGCACGTACAAGCTCCTTGTACCCGATGGAGGACGCAAATCGCTGTCTAGAAACGCTGCAAAGTCGCGAGTGCGCACCAGTTCATGATACGCGTCAGGCTGGAGCTGTACGTGGCGCATGCCCAGCGTCCTGGCCAATGCCAAATTCCCCTCCACTATTTCGTCCTTGAGTTGCAACTCCCGACTGAAGTAGGTGAATGGCATGCGTCTGGCATTTGCCAGCTGCGCCAATGCCAACATGGCGTTGCTCTGTGATCCACCGAAGCTGAACAAATGGGCGTCGGCGAAAAAGGTGTCGCTCTGCCTCACGAAATAATACATTTTGCGCATCTACCAGCGTTTTTGTCAGTCAAAAAAAATGAATCATTCTCAAAATGCCGCTGCAAATTGCCACCTTGTTGCCGGCAAGATGAAACACATCGTCCCTCTTGACATGCACTCGCTGGTCACGGAACAACACTCTCGTCACTGGCGACTGGCGCCACTGCCACCCTCGCATCGTTTGTCAAAAGGGAAAGTCGCAGCAGGTCACCAATTCGTACTTTAGTGAGAGGTCTCTACAACGCGACGAGTTTATTCCAGCGACGTCGTCAGTTTCCGACTGCTGTTGCTTGCTGTGGAGGCAGGCGTCGCTCTGCGTCTCGTTCCTCCCACCTCAATATCATGCGACGCTTAAGCTCCAGAGGAGGTGCGTGTCTCTCCCCCTTGCTGCCACTACTGTGGTGCTAACTGTATGTGCAGGCGGCAAGAACTTCAGCCTCAAGAGTGAGGAGGACGTGGAGGAGCTCATGCAGACGCTGGTGGCTCAAATCCACGCTAAACTCAAGAATGAGCTCAATCTACGCGAGATTTTCATCCCAAACTCCAAAGCAGAGGCGCGCTGTAGCATCTTCGTCTCACACAACTACGCGGCGTGTCCAAAACTCTGCATCTTCATGCAACCCGGCGAAGGTGCGGCCTCATATGTTTTTATTTACCAGTCACTATTTTTTTTACCATTTTTTTTATGTTGTTGCAGGCATGCAACCGGGTATGTGGAGTCGCACGATTCACCCGAAGACAGGGTTTCAAGGCTCCATGATCCCGTACTTAAAGACAGCGATTCAGGGCGGATATGGCGTCGTGATTCTGAATCCTAGCACCAATTTCTGCATGGTAAACGGCCATCGAGCCAAGATTCTACACTCATCTACACCAGAAGCTCATGTGTCGTACGTGTGGAAGAACTACGTCGTGCCCAATGCCGCCCAGGAGATCAGCTTCATTGTCCACGACAATGCCGGTGTCTTGTTAAAGACATTTCTGTCTTCATTGAGTGGACACGAACAGCAGCGAGTTGGCGGAATTGCGTTCATTGAGTCAGCACATCAAGTCTCATCAGGAGATAGCAATGCGTTGCGTGAAATGTTGCGTGAAAAAGCTGTCAACTTCGAAGCTTCGACGGAGCCGATGTTTACAGTGATTGGGTCGTCCAAAGCGCGACTTGGATGCACGTCGTTATCAGTGGGACGCACTTCAGGTGAAGCAAATAACCGCGAGTGGACTGTACACTCGGTACAGACGTCAGCGTTTGTGTTCCTGCAGTCCATAGCCAATGGAATCGAGGAATCGCTGCACGCTATCCGCGCTACGTTCCCCAACAAGCTCATTGTGACAGTGAACCGTGCACGGCTCACTGGTCAACCCTACAACAACCCGTTTGCAGTGGTGCAGTGCGCTGGACAGAAGAAGGAAACTGTGGGCAGTCATAAGCACACGATGGATCCCGAATGGAACCAGACGTTCTCCTTTCCTGTCACATCAAGTGAAGCGAAGGTGGTTATCATCGTGAAGGACAGATCTTTCCCAATGAACACCTCACTAGGTCAAGTTGTCGTGACTATGAGTGAAGTGGGGTTGAACCGCGCAGATCGACGATGGTTTGCATTGCGAGACGAAAAGGTGGCAACATCTCACGGTAACGGAGAAGTGGAGCTGACCCTCGAGTGGGTACACGACACATTTGTTGCGCGTTCAGACTCGTTTATCCGTGGCAACCGCATGCCGACGCTGGAAGCTCAGCAACGTCCTCGTAATGGCACTGGAGATGGCGAGAACTGCTGTTATCTGTGCAAAACCACGTTCGTATTGCACCGTCGTCGATACTGTCGAATGTGTTTACGTCTGGTATGTACGTCGTGCTCGGATCGCTTGTTCCTGCCTGGATTTAGCGAGCCAAAGCGAGTATGCTCCGGATGCTGTGATCTTCAAATGATGCTGCATAATAAACTGCCTCGTATGGGAGGTCCTGGAGGTCCAGGCTCTAAGGTTCCTTCACAAGACAAACTGGATGAACACGCCCAGCGGATGGAGGCGATGCGAAAGCGTGAGGAAGCTGAAAAGCGGCCTCTTTCTATTAACGACTTTGATCTGCTGAAGGTTGTCGGTCGTGGTGCCTTCGGTAAAGTGCTGCTGGTTCGCAAGAAAGAGGGCAAGAATTCTGGTCAGATTTATGCCATGAAGATCCTCGTCAAGTCGCACATTATCAAGAACGACCAGATTGAGAATACCAAGGCGGAACAACACATTCTCAAGGAGATCAGCCACCCGTACGTCGTGCGGCTACGATACGCCTTCCAGAACGCTGACAAGCTGTATCTCATCATGGACTACTACCCGGGTGGTTCCATGTTCTACCACTTGCGTAAATCGAAGCGGTTCTCCGAAGAACGAACACGATTGTACATGGCACAGTTGCTGACGGCGCTGATGCATCTGCACAGCAAGCAGATCGCGTACCGTGATCTGAAACTGGAGAATATTCTGATGGATCCGAAGGGAAATATCGCGTTGACTGACTTCGGTTTATCAAAAGAAGGTCAGATGGTCGAAGGCGCGATTCGAGCGTCTCAGGCAGATACCGGTATGAAGACGATTTGTGGCACAGCAGAGTACATGGCTCCAGAGCTGCTGCGTCATCAGCCGTACGGAAAAGTGGTCGACTGGTGGAGTTACGGCATTTTACTGTTCGAAATGCTCACAGGACGCACGCCGTTTGTGGATCGCAATCGACGGCAAATGTTCAAGAACATTATGCAGTCTGAAGTCATTTATCCTTCGCATATTTCGCCTGTGGCGCGTTCTCTGATCTCCAAACTGCTGAATCGTGATCCTGCTCGACGTCTTGGAGGCGGCCCCAACGGCGGTCGGGATATCATGGCACACCCGTTCTTCGAGTCGATTGACTGGGACAAACTGATGCGGAAGGAGATCGAACCTCCGTTCGTCCCTGACGTGTCGAGTGTGGACGATATCACGAATGTGCCTGAAATGTTCCAGAATATGGCGGCTGTGGACTCTCCTGTCAACAAGAAGAACGGGGAAGGTCACCACTTCGACGACTTTACGTACCAAGAAGACGGATACATTATGCGTGCCACGCACAACCTAAACCAGCATCAATAAGAGAGCTACGCAATACATCGCCTGTATAATTTGTATGCTCGTGTTGCGCCGTGGCTTGGACACTCACTCCTTCTTCTTCTTCTTGGTAGATTTCTCTTCGTTACTGTCTTGACGGGGACGCTTCAGATGCGGAGGAAGACTTGGCCCGATGACCACCTCCTCCTTATCATCGTCTTCTGTTTGGTCCTTCGCGTTATCATCATCTGCTTCCACATTTCGTTTAAGATGTGGTGGTAGTTGCGGTCCAATTGAAGCAGTTCGCTCGTCGTTATCGTCATTGGCTTTAGTCGCAGCAGCAGGAGGTAGCTGTGGCCCAGCCGGACCACGAGCGACTCGAGCACCTTTATCCGTCGGTGCACTGCGCTGAAGACGACGTTCATATTCTTGCAACTGGCGGCGAAAGCTTTCGTTTGGGTTGGCTATTGGACGACGCTCAGTTACAAAAGCCAACGCCTGCTCGAAGCTCATGGAACGTAGCTTCATGAGGTAAGCTACGACCATGGACGACGAGCGGCTCACTCCTTTGTTGCAGTGCACGAGTATCCGACCTATTGTTCAAATGAAGGAGGGGAAAATACACATCACGCGCCGTACTTGGCTATCGTTAGCAATTTGACGCCCTTTGAAGTCCCCATTATCAAATGTGATACCATAGTATTTGGCTTGGTCCATGAAGGCGATACAGCCTTCCAGCACCCCGGAAATGTCCTCCGCCTTGTTGTCGAAGATGGAACAACGTCGGTACGTGAAAACTTTGTCCTTCTCGAAAAAATTGGGCACTCCAGCCACCGGATCCATTTTCTTCGGGGGCGTCACCTGAATCAGAGTTTTAGCCATTCCTTTCCGATCCGAATCTCAGCCAGAACTGCGGACGTACGTACGTTCAAGATATGAGTGATACGGAGACGCTGCAGTAGCTCCTTGTCACGCGCGTGCGTCCGCGAGCCGAGGAACACGTGCTCGAGGATCTGCGAGGGCTCCGCGTCGTCGTCCCGAGCCATCGTTTCTTGCTTTGCTAGGTCTTCGCGCCAAATGCAAAAATTACTTTAATTTGCAAAAATGTAAAAAAAAATCGAATGCAAGTTGTGCATGCATGCATTACAGTCAGTCGCTGACTCTGTGCGCTCATTCGTACTGGCAATTTGCCATGACATAAATCATTACCATAGGTCGCACAATGTGCGTCCTGTGGTTACTGCGTATTGCGGCCACTCGAATTGACCTGAAAAAACGTTGCTCGCATTCTTTCCGCAATACGCAGTATCCTGATGGCACCGAGAATGTCCTCTACGCCTGAATGTATGGATGTAGCTGGCTACTCAATCCTGCAGCGCGTACGCTCCAGGTCTTTCCAACCACTTTTTTCTGTCTGCTACAGACATTGCCGAAATGCTCTCGGCCGTTTTACTCCGTGCTTGCCCTTCAGCCCGCTCTTGAGCAGTTCCAGCATGTTCCTCGCAGCATTGACGTCTCGGTTCCAAAAATTGGCCTTGCATCCACTTTTAGTACAGCGCAAGAGTACTTCTCAACAACCACATACCAGCAACAAGCCACTCGAATTGACCTGAAAAACGTTGCTCGCATTTTCAACTGTCGCGGCCCTTCGAGGGCAAATCGGGCTCGCATTCCTATTAAGCAATGGGAGGTCGGTTCTCTCGGGTGCAGTATCGAGAGCATGACGCCGCTGTTTTGGGTCACTTAGTGCTGCTTACTCAAGTCTGGTGCGCGATCTTCTGCTAGCAATGTTCCCATTTAACGGTGCTAACGCTAAGCCGATTGTTGCTAGGGGGCTCGATGAGATTGCATACCTGTCGACAAGACTGCGGCGACTGTCGTTCAACTTTTGCCTGACTTTCCAGCAATTCGAAGACCTCGTAGGTCTTCGTAATAACCCGTTGTTCAAAACGATGCTGCATCGCTGGTTCACCACCTTCCAGAACACACACAGCAGTACCATCGTAAACGGACTTGAATTCCTAACAGCACTTGCACTGACCACTGCGGATGGGAAACTCGACGAGAAAGCAGGTGCCGTCTTTGACATTTTCGACTTTGACGACTCCGGTGCCATCACCCGCGATGAATTGGGAATACTCATCAAGTCAGCCGTTCGTGGTCTTTCTAAAGCTACAAAAGGTCTTGGTCCGAGGCTTGCAGCACTGTGTCCCATGAGTGAAGTAGCTGAGCTAACTCGCCAGTGCTTTGTGCACTGTGATCTGGATGACGAGCAAGACCTGCCTCGTACGCGCTTTATTTTGTGGGTTAAACAGACGCCAAAGATCGTGAACTTACTGCGTTGTTTCGTGCAGCGAGAGTATCTGTCAGAAGACGAGGCTGCCGTGATGATCCAGCGTTGTAGTCGTGGTATGTTGGCACGGCGCGAAGCAGCCGAGCGTCGTCTTGAGATCCAACTCGAAGTCGAGCAGGAATTATCACAAGCAGCCCAGAAAATTCAGGACGTGGTCGTCACGCGTAAAAAGAAGCGAGAGCGGCTACGACAGCAAAAAGTGGAGCAATTTGCTCATCATGGCGCGGTCTATTCGTTCGGCGCTAATTCACGAGCTCAGTTAGGTCACTCACACTTGGAACTCTCTCGACATGTAGCCTCGCCATTGCTAGCGGCATTTTTCAAGAACAACGAGTTGCGTATCTCTCGCGTAGCTTTGAGTGAGACGCATGCCAGTGCTGTGACATCCGATGGTCAAGTTTTCACGTGGGGTGCAGGTGTACCTGGTTCCTTTGGGTTTCTCTTGCCACCGCAGTTGCATAATGGTAGCAGTTTTAGTGGAGGAGGTGGGGTTATTCGCAAACAACCCACAAGAGTGGACGATCTGAACGATGCTGTTATTGTTGACTCACGACTTGGTAGCCACCATTCAGTTGCGTTAAGTGCTGGAGGAATCGTTTATACTTGGGGATCTGGTGGCTATGGACAACTCGGACACGGGGACTTTACTGTGACGGACGAGAACTCGGAGCGTAGTGATGCCATTTTCCGGTCCCAATTCGACCCTCACACAGGTAGAGAATACCCAGTGATCGATTTGCCATTGCAATTAGACTCTAGTTACTTCGAGGAGATGCGAGTGACACAAGTGGCGTGTGGTTATTACTTCACTCTAGTCGTGACTGAGGACGGCAGTGTGTTTAGCTGGGGGGAAGGATCCGATGGACAATTAGGTCTTGGCTACTCGGATTCCTTTCGAGTAGGCTTTCTGGATCCAAACATAAATGGCAGCAATTTCGTGTACATACCCTCTCCTACGAGGATCGACGCACTTAAGGAGCCTATCGAGAGTGTTGCAGTAGGTGGTAATCATGTCTTCGCTGTCGGACGTGCTCCAAAAAGACAAGTTTTCGAATGGGGAGCTTGGAAACGACGTGGTGCAAGTGATGCGCGTGAAAGTGCCTTCACACCTCTCGAAAATAGCGCACTTTCCGCCTTAAGCGTGCAGCAAATTGCAACGGGAAGGGAGCACGCACTTGCTGTAACTTCACGTGTTCAAGTATCACTTACCGTCGATCAGTTTCCATATCGAGCCAGCAGTCCTAGAGAGGAGGAAAAGAAAACAGAGGACGAGTCTCTGCGTACCATAGCGTTGTGCGCACGTTTTGGATCTCAGCCGACACAACTCTTACGTGCCATTTCAGGGTCAGTCTTCGCTCTCCCACTGCCCACCGCTGAGTTCGCTTTAGGAACGTCTTCAGCAGCTTCTGCAGCATTGAGCGCTGCAGTGTACGATCGCTCAGATTCACACATTCGATCGAGTTTAACGCGTTGTACTGGTATGATCGCACTGATTGATCGAGGGGCGTCTACGGGTTGTTGGATATCGCTACTCATAGACTCAACGCGACCGACAGAGCTGCTGGAGATCCCGTGTGTACCAGCAGCTTTTGGTCCACCACTGAACGCCACAGGTGTACGCGCACAGTTGTTCTACTCACCCGAGCGATTGTCAAGTCTGCGTTTGTATGTCCGGCCGGATGAAATCGTCGGTCGTATAGCTGTGCTAGATTTTGGCCAAGAAGATGTCGCCTTTGATGCTGATGCACTTGATGCAAGTGAACTCATCGGACGTCTTATGAAGTCTCTAGTTTCACTTGTTAAGGACGCACAGGAGGCTGGTGCTGTTGCTGTGGTGATCCTTTTTGACTTCCTTGAGGCGGATGCCTTTGCGCTTGAGGTGGATGAAGAGAACGACAACTACAAGATCCCTGCTGTCATGATACGCAAAAGTCATTATGGCGAATTGCTGCTTGAGCAGCTACAGACACCAGGAAAGAGACCCTGGTCGATTTTGTCAAGCAAAGAGGACATTCTGGGAAAGCAGGTACAGTTCAATTGATCGGATGAATCGAAATTGTGGAGTTTTGCTAACAAGATTTGGTTTGAAGATACTAACAGCGCAGAAAGCTGGAGCCAAGGCTGTGGTGGTTGCTCAGACTCGCGTTGATCCAGACGCAATAAGGGTAAGAATGCTCGTTACTTTGGTGTGTTGGCGTGCATGTTTTAACTTGTATGACTTCTTCGTTTGCAGTTGGGAATGAATGTGTTTGGTCCGGGTGAAAGTGAGAAAGCACCCAGCACTTCAGGCGTGAAGATACCCGTTATATCAATTCCCTACAAGGTAAGGAGTTATGCGATGTCATCAATGCTAGACTTGATCAATCGACTGACAATGCGTTGAATTCCGATTAGATTGGCGCCAGGATGAAGGCAAGGTTGGACGGTGTAGAGGCCGACGACTCGCAGTGTCGAATAGCTCTCACCGGATCGGGGACGCTTTATGCGTGGGGACTTGCTGAAAATGGTCGTCTTGGACTGGTACGTAGCAAATTGGGCTGTCACCGTCTAGCGCTTTTCCACGTGGATTATTACATCGTGTTGCTATCTGCCAAAGGGCGACATCGAGAACGAGAAGCTGTTTCAATCTGGATACGACGGCGCTCGGCAGAAGAGCTACCAGTTCGTACAGGACCCGGAGGTCGTGTCGGCTTTAATCTCAAAGGAGATTAGTCATATCTCTTGTGGCGAGGATCACTCCGCTGCTGTTTCCAGTACGTTCCTCTGGACTGAAAGTACATCGTTGACTTTGCCCTAACATTTTAATTCTTTAGGCGATGGCACGTTGTATTGCTGGGGCAGCGGGCGAGACGGGAAACTTGGCACCGGGTCCTTAGACGATGAAGATACTCCCGTGACAATCGATGCGCTATCCTCCGTCAAGGTTGCTCGGGTAGAGTGCGGCGTCAGACAAACGGTACGTGTCACTTCAACTTAGAAATGGCTACACTTCAGAAATGCCCATTAACATCTTCATGCATATCCGCAGCTGGTAGTCACTCAAAACCCTTCACTACAGAGCACATAGCATTGCATCGTAATGATCGATGTAGCTGATCAATGCCTTGCGCCGCTGTGTCGCGCAGGTTATCGTATATATCAATGGTCAGTGCCACATTCCAAATTCCGACGCAAAACGAATCTCAGGAATCAGAAATCCTTGTAAGAAATTCGCAAAACTTCACAAAATTTCACTTAAACAACGGCCAATCAGATTGCCGCTTCTCATCTCGCGGTTTTGTCCAGTCATGCGTCAGATCAGCGACCCAGCCATTATCCCTCAAACCTCAGGACGATGGCTCGTGGCAAGAAGAAAGGAGGCCGCCGCGGCGACGACTCGGACTCGGACGATGCCAAGACTGCACCTCCCGCTGCCCCCGCTTCGGTCGGCGAGACCGACAAGAAGGCGGCTCGTAAGGAGAAGTTGAAGGCACGTAAGGCCCAGCGCCAAGCCGTCAAAGCCAATGAGGAACAGGCCAGCCAACGCACAACCTCGGACGCTGAACAGGACGACGACGACGAGGAAGACCCGTACGCGCAGGTGGCAGCCAGCATGAACAAGAAGAAGAACAAAAAGAACAAGAAGAAGGCCGCTGTGAACTTCGCAGCGCTGGTAGACGACAGCGAGAGCGAGGAGGAGCAGGACGAGGAGGACGAGGTGGACGAGTACGCGCAGGTGGCTGCTTCTATGAGCAAGAAGAAAAACAAGAAGAAAGACAAGAAAAAGCAGCAAGTTGTGGAGAGTGAAGAGGAGGAAGAGCAGGACGAGGAGCAGGACGAGGAGCAAGACGAGGAGCAAGAGACCAAACCCGAGCCTGTGGTGGAAAAGAAGAAGGACAAGAAAGACAAGAAGAAGAGCAAGAAAAAATTGATCTCGTCGGACCTGTTTTTCGATCCCGTGGGCCAACCGGAGGAGGACGACAAGAAAGACAAGAAGAAAAAGAAGAAAAAATCCAAACTCCCCTTCGAGACCAATGATGACGATGAAGAGGATGATGAAGACAGCGGGAAAAAATCCAAGAAGTCCAAGAAGGATAAAGAAGGTAAACGTCTCAGCAACAAGGAGCGCAAGCGTCTCAAAGAAGAGCAAGAGCGTCAGGAGCGTGAGGAGGAATACCACCGAGCTGCTAACCCCATGGACGGCGCGCAGTTCTCGGTATCGCAGCAGGCCTTTACGGAGGACTCGAACTGGGAGAACGCTACAGACATCCACATCGAGAACTTCAGTATTAACGCGCACAACAAGTTGCTGTACGACAACGCATCGCTGCACATTAACGCAGGCGGTAAGTATGGTCTCGTGGGTCCCAATGGTCAGGGTAAGACCACGATTTTGAAGATGATCGCACTGGGTGAACTCAAGATCCCGCCCAAGATCGACTGTCTGTACGTGGAGCAGGAAGTCGTGGCTGATGACACGCGCGCCGTGGACGCCGTGCTGAAGGCTGACGCTGAGCGTTGGGCTCTGCTCGAGGAAGAGAAATTCCTGCTCGCTGAGCTGGAGACCAAGCAAGACTCGGCTCTGGACGACCGACTGAACGAAGTGTACGAGCAGCTGTCGCACATGAACGCGTCTGCTGCTGAGGCCCGTGCACGTCGTATTCTTTTCGGTCTGGGTTTCGACTCGGCCATGCAGGAAAAGGTCACCAAGGATTTCTCCGGTGGTTGGCGTATGCGTATCTCGCTGGCCAAGGCGCTGTACGTGGAGCCGACGCTGTTGATGCTTGATGAACCGACGAACCACTTGGACCTGAACGCTGTCATTTGGCTGGATGATTACCTGCAGAAGTGGAAGAAGACGCTGCTTGTAGTCTCCCACGACGCCGATTTCCTGAACAGTGTGTGTAGTGAAGTGCTGCACTTGGAGAACAAGAAGATTGCGCACTACAAGGGCAACTACGACATGTTCCGTGAGATGGAGAAGCAGAAGCGTAAGCAGATGGAGAAGGCCTGGGAGAAGCAGCAGAAGCAGCTGCGTAACCTCAAGGCTTCGGGTAAGTCATCCAAGAAGGCTACGGAGATCGTCAAGAAGAAACGCGAGCCTGGTGCTCGTTCAGCCAAGAAGAAGGCAATGATGCCGGACGACGCAGCGGACGCCAGTGCCCCCATGGAGCTGTTGGAACGACCAAAGGAGTACATTGTGCAGTTCAGCTTCCCGGAGACGACGATCGTATCGCCGCCTATTCTTGAAGTGCGTGAGGCCAGCTTCCGCTATGGTGAGGGTCCGTATTTGTTCAAGAATACGGACTTTGGTATCGACACGACGTCGCGTGTGTGTATCGTGGGTCCCAATGGTGTGGGTAAAAGTACCCTGCTCAAGATGATCACGGGTGAAGTGACTGTGACGGAAGGAGAGGTGCGTCGTAACCCGCGTGTGCGTCTAGGTATTTACAGTCAGCACTTTGTGGACAAGTTGCCTATGGGCGAGACACCGGTGGAGTATCTGCGTCGTCTGTTCCAGGATCAATCGTACCAGCAGGTGCGTAACTTGCTCGGCAAGGTCGGACTGGAGGGTCACGCACACGAGATCAAGAACCGCTTGCTGTCTGGTGGTCAGAAGGCGCGTGTGGTGATCGCTGAGCTGATTCTGATGCGTCCGCACATTCTGATTCTGGATGAGCCGACGAATAACCTGGATATCGAGTCCATTGACGCGCTGTGTGACGCTATTCGCGAGTTTGAAGGCGGCGTGGTGATCGTGACGCACGACGCGCGTCTGATTGAGTCGACGGAGTGTGTGCTGTGGGTGTGTGGCGACCAGGACGTGGTCGTGTACGACGGATCGTTCGAGGACTACAAGCAGTCGATTCTGGATGATCTGCACAAGCAGGCCCAGGCTGAGGAGACGCGTCTTGCCGAGAACGCTGCTAAGAAGGCTGAGGCTCGTGCGCAGAAACTCAAGGGGCAGTCGGCTGCTGCTGTCGAGGCTGAGGCGTAAATCGCTGCAGTCTGGTAGCTATAGTGGCGAGGGTTTGCTGTGTATAGCTGGGAATTTAGACGCGCGAATCCGTTGGCGGCGCATAACTGCATATACATGGAGATTGTTCATCAGGTTGAGGTGGCCATTTCGCATCCGCCGCACGCTCACAAATGATAGTGATGTATGCCACACTGATATGACTTTAGTGACGCGTCATTGTTTCGAGGAAAAGCTCAACAATGGGCCTCTCTATTTTAGTCATTAGGAGAAATTTATCTGACAGAAATTTCAACTTGACCAAATTGACCTCTAATATTGAATTTACCTGACACAAACGATATGTGGTAGTCAGAGGGGTAGGCTTTGATCGATGATTGGCCAACGCGAAGAGCGGCGAATTGGTTGGCTCTGGAGGTCTTCGCTCGAGCCGCTCGCCAGCAGCTCACTCCATTCCCTGCAGAACTTCTCGTTACTAAGTCAAAAAGACAACAAGCATGGCTGACAAGGTTCCCGTCACGGTGCGCACGCGCAAGTTCCTCCGCAACAGCCTTCTGGCTCGTCGCCAAATGGTGCGTCTGTGCCTTCCCTACTTGTTCGCGCTGCTCCTGTCTCGATCTGACTTTTCTTGCCCATGTTCTGTGCGTCTATTCAGGTGGTGGAGGTGATCCACCCGGGCCGCCCCAACGTGCCCAAGGCTGAGCTTCAGGAGAAGATCGCCAAGGTATGACACTTAGGACATAGTCATTGATACAACCAGCCAGTTAGCAGCGGAACAGGAACATCAGGAACAGATTTAAAGCAGCGCGAGACTTTTCAGAGCCGAATGCACGTCGGATATATCGAATTCAGTGCATTGGAGAGAACTGCTGACTGGCTGGTCGAAACACAGATGCAGAGTGATGGCGGATAGCTGACATTGGTTGTATTGCTCCTCCCCGTAGATGTACAAGGTGAAGGACGCCAACACCGTCTTCCTGTACGGCTTCCGCACGCAGTTCGGTGGCGGTAAGAGCTCGGGCTTCGGTCTCGTGTACGACACGGTGAACGACGCCAAGCGTTTCGAGCCCAAGTACCGTCTGATCCGCCAGGGTCTGGTTGAGAAGGTCGAGACTTCCCGCAAGCAGATTAAGGAGGCCAAGAACCGCGCCAAGAAGGTCCGTGGTGTCGGCCGCCGTATCGCTCGCCACAAGGCCGCCAAGGCCAACAAGTAGAGTGTCGAGGACTCGTCGAATCTGGCACGAGCTTGGGCTGCAGCTGCTAGCCGCGCTTGGCTCGTTGTCGCCATTCCGCTGAGAGTATTTTGGGGAACAAGAAGGTCATGCTGGGAAGTGTAACTAGTCAAGAAACTCACACGTTTGCTTGATTTCTTCGCTCTGCTCAAACATGCAGTTTGTTTATTGCTTCTAATTCTAGTTTCTAATTCCTAACTTGGTGATCATTTCTTGATACTAATTGCTATAGGGATGGATGACGGAATGAAGTAACTTACTATGCATTATGTGCATCTACCAAGGGCAAACTGCTCATAACAATCCGGGACAACAGCGGTCGCTCGTCTCCGGAACTGCGACTTTTTAAGATTTGGGACGCGCTAGCTGGATAGATTATTGGACCACGCAACAACTACCCTTGGGGACACCTTGTACTGCGCCCGGTCCGGCTTGCTTGCTGTAGTGTGTTCGATTGGAATATGTCATCTCCACTAGCGAGCCACCAGTCTCGTCAGCAAATGTGAGCAGTCTACCAGCTTTTGCGGCGTTCGAGTCGCTGCCGCCGTTGACTTGGGAAGATAATAGGACTGCTGCTGTGCCCTCGAGCTCATCTTCTTCTAATTCCTGGCCGTTGGTATCTAATCTGCCGTTCATGGTGGGGCTTCCGTTTCTTGCCACTAGTGGTGGCCTTGCTGGTGGAGTGGGTCCATCGGTTGTCATGAAATCTGGCGCCGTAGTTGGATCAGGTCCTAACGTAGGCCCTCGGTACGAGTTTTCCGTGTCCTGCCAGTCATCGTCTTCCATGCCTAACTTGCGTCGTTGGTCGCCATCTCCACTCGCTTCCATCGGGTGTACGGATTGGCGCATTAATCCCCTTCCCATTCAATGATTTTGCCTGGGCACCAGCAGTTGTCTTGGTTGTCTGCTCTTGGTGTTCTCGATTGGCTAAGCGAAATAAGCTCTTAACTCGCGCAAGGAGCATACACGGTAGGGGATCTGGTCCTCGCAGAGTCTCGTTCAGTATTTGCACCACTTCAACTCAAATTGGCAGACGCGTGGGGGTGTATTGCACTCCTCGTTTCCTTGGCGTTCTTATCGCAGCCTTCCAGTTCTGTGTAGACTTGCTTGACGAAGGCTGCACTAATGCATTGAACCATGGTGGCTTTCCCTATATATAGGGAGTTGCTTCATACCTGTCGTCGAGTATTTTGATGTACTAGGGGAAGAGATCGTTTTGTAGCCATTTTAGTCGAACATGTGCAGTTCCAGTGACCTGTACGTACGTACATTACGAGACACTACCAGGAGTTTTCAGTTTGTCAGTTCATGCGGAGCTCATAATTACTATTCCTTGTTTTCGTGCATTGCACGCACATTATTCTTGACCCGTCCTCCGCTTCCTTTACTCCTAACCTTGTGGAAATTCCTTTTATAGTGACTCGACAGAGGTAGCACTACATGTAGTGCTTTTGATTGGTATAGCAGGCGAGTGTTTGGAAGGCGGGGAGTTTTCGTCGTCTGCTGCTGAGGCTATACGTTGATTCAGCTCAATACCACGGGCGATAGAATGCGGCGTAACTGGTTCGCGATTCGGAAGTTGATCCATTTGTGCGTAGAGCAAACCGTGCTTCGTCGGTCGCCATAGATACACTGCAACTAGCAAAATCCCGAAGAAGAGTAAGCGAGTTGCCGCCCATATAACCCATGTATACGTCCAAGGTAACCACACGGCGCCCGAATAGCTATTGCATGACGAAACACAACGCAACGTCAATAAATCCTCACACAGCACGGAGTATCCGCTACTAAACTTACATAGCCCCTTCGATTGCCATCAAGAAGAAAGAGGTCATCACGTAAGCTACCAATATCCGATTGAGAGAAGTATATACCTGCAGTTTTGCAGTCTGCCCATCACAGAACAAATAGCGGTGGGCTTTAGTCGGAATTGGTAATAAAAGCAGCATATTGAACAAGCTTACCTGGCCGAAGGCAGCAAGGTTCTTGCGTGTCAGCTCAAGCGACAAGAATATCCATCCACCGAAGCATGCATTGGTCATAATGACGAGCGCTTCCCAGACAGCAGGAGGCCGAACATCACCGTCCGACTGATTGGCTAGATGACTCACTTCCAGCGCTCCAACAGCAATGAAGTAACATACGCCAAGTCCGGAAACGACGAACACCTCTGGCCATGAAATCTGCATCCGCACAATTCCATAGCCCAAACTGACTAGCGTTGTAGCAATACGCGCCACCATTCCCGCCAGCACCTTCATGAACGTAGAGAACAGCACCGAGTCCGGGTAGGGACAGCAAACGGGCACACCTGAATCATTCAGCAGCTTGTACGTTACAAACCACGCTACCGATTCGCCTACATACACGACAAATAGCACAATCGTCAGACATTTTATCCAAAATACCACGCCAGATACAAAACCAGCTTCAACTTCTTACCAGTTGCCAGCAGCAATACGATAAGTAGGAAATAGTGCGTCCCAACAACGCTCTGTCGGTAGCGGTAGATCAAAACCAAAAAGTACACATCCAGTGCACCATACATCAACGACAAAACCCCGCTGCAGTGCAACACATAGCACCAATAGATTAGCAAATTGCGCCTTCAATCCCATAACTTCTCAAAGTACCCACTTGAACGGGAACAACCCATACAGTAGTCCAGGCAAATAGCCGTATGGATTCCGGAATGCAAACTCCCCGTCCACATGGAGCAATGGATCCACCATCGGATATGCCACGAACTTGTCTGCACTGACAGGATATCCGAACGCTGCGCTTTTCTGTTTCCAACAAGGCACCAGCAACGCCGTCTGTAGTCCTCCTTCCTTTGGGTAGAATGTCGTATTCACCTGAAGCGTCTGATCCCTCTCCATTAGGTAGAATTTCCCCTGAAGTTCGCCCTGCATATTGCTAGAGTTGGAGAAGTTCCAGCTACAGGCCGTGCGATCGTCAAAGCCTACAGTAAGTGCCGCGTCCGAGGAATAGGCGGCCAACACGACGCCAAAGTCGAAATAGTCACTTAGTCTCCGCACCGTGATGGTATCTTGCACCTCATGATCCTTCAATGGACGTAACGTCGCGTCGACGTGGACTATGGAGCGTTCAACAGTCCCCCAGGGACCGTGGCCATCTGCAAACATTCTCTCAGTGATCTTGCAGCCTGTGACCTTTTCGTGCATCTCGTGGATCGAGCAAGAGACCAGCAGATTTCTACGGCAAAGCAGCAGACCCGCAATAAACAACAACATGCGCTGATGCCGGCTACATGACGAGAAGCGCCCGACAGCTCGCGACAGGAGCGCGGCGAGCAGCGTCATCGTTAACGAGTGCGGAATCGGAGTGATGGTCATCAACTAACTGTCACATCGTCTTCAAAACATATTTCGACCAATCAGCGTCGATAAACATAATCAGGGGCCGCTGTCTTACAGTCGACATCTCACCCAGAACACGAGAAGAAGAGCCCCAAGATGCTGTCGCCCGTGCCGTCGCTGCTGCTGCTGTGGAGTGTGTGGCTGGGTGCCGTGGCCGCATCTATCTACCCCGTGGAGAGCAGTTACTGGGTGCCGCCGTTCCAGCGTGCTGAGAAGCTCTTCGCCACGGATCAAGGCCCGATCCTCGCGCGGACAGGCAACTCGTCGGTCACTGTACGGCATATATTATGACTACACTGCAAGAGGGTATATATTAAATGGAGGTTGTTGCATGTGCAGATCGACATCAGTGGCGTGAATGTGACGCAGGAAATGGCAGGCTGGAGACTCGTGGTCTTCTTCTACCACGTGGACAACTACGAGGACTTTGAGACCGTGGCAGGCAAGATTGAGCTGCTAGCGTGCTCTGACGTGGAAGGAATGAAGTTCGATGGCATGTCCGATGTCCAACGCTTCGTGTTCACCGTGGCTAATGAGACCACGCCCACCGTGAGTGCTAACGTATCGCACCTTGTGAACTCGAGCGGCTGGACAGACACGCAGATCTTCGTGTGTGCTGAGGACGAGGGCGCTGCGACGGAGACGCTGACGTTCACAGGATCTATGGAGGTGCGCAACCCGTACGGACTTCTGCCCGCAGTGCTGTACGGAATGCTGCCGTTCAGCGGTTTCTTGACTGTTGGATACCTGGTGCTGGACGTATTTTTCGTGTTCCTGCTGATCCGTCACCGCCGTCAATTGCTCTCTCTGCACTGGGGTATCTTGCTCATTTTGGTGATGGGAACTGCGGCTTCGGCTGTTTGGTTTTACGCTTTCTACAAGATGAACAAGACAGGAGAACCTGTGTGCTGCCCCTACCCGACGACATTCTTGATCGCTGTGATTTTGGATGTAGGTTATGGCTGTATGAGGATATTGCTTGTGATGTACTGATCATTGTGAAATGTTTTGAATTGACAGACGTTTGTGCGCACACTGGCGCGTGTGATCTTGCTGATTGTGTGCCTTGGCTACGGCATCGTCCGAAGCCACCTGAGTCGTGTTGAAGTTGGTGTGATTACCTTCTTATCGCTTGCGTACTTCATATCGGGTATCGCTGATGAGGTTACGCGCGGCACGTCGAGTGGTGCTGACTTCCGTGAGAAGCCGACGGCCTGGTCGTTCATCCAGTTGCTGTGCAATCTCGCGTTTATCATGTGGATCCAGTTCTCCATGGAGCGTATTCTCCGCGACCTGCGGGATCAGAAGCAGTTTGCTAAGCTCAGCATGTACCGCTGGCTGGCCTGGTCGCTCGCCGCTTTCATCGTGTTTTTCACGGTTCTCACGGTCGTTGCCGTCTGCAGTCGACTCGGTGTGTTCGAGTGGGACGTCGAGTGGGAGTGGATGCAGCTTGTGGCTTGGCCTGTGTTGAACTTTATCGTTTCAGCTGCGATGACTTTGATCTGGCGGCCAACGCAGAACAGCTCGCAGTTCGCGTACTCCATGCAGGTACGTTTGAAGAGCAAACCGTATTGTTCTATCGTCCTTGTACTAATGTTGTTGTTCTACTGTGTAGTTACCGATGACTGAAAGCCCGGGAATCGAGATGACACGTAACACGCATGGCTCATCGTCTGACGAGGACATTAACCCCGAGATTGAGTCGGACTCGGATGAAGAGAAATCCAGTCACCAGGAGAAGAAACAAAAGAGTTACAGCAAAGATAGTGACGATATGGAAGGAGTTTAGGTGCGTGGGCTACTCGATTTTGTATTGTGCAGTCTGCATATTGATTCGGGTGGCGAAGGCACGGTCAAAAAAAAAAGCGGTCATTGTACGGAAGTCGGTGCCAAGGAGTCGAGAACTTGAGTACGGAGGTGTTTACATGTGCTTACTGTCTCCTATCTTTCACGCGTCCTTCTTATGGTCGCGTGTTAACCGCAGAGCAATGACAACAAGTCCCACGAAGCACACACCGGGCAAAACGACTGCAGTCATGGTGGCACTCGATGTTTCCTCGTCGTCAGCCTGTTTACCTCCGATGACCTTGGCCTCAAATTCCGTGACTGTTTTGGCTTCCGGCTCAGTTGGAAGTGGCTTACCAATGCCTGGAGGATCATTGTACTGGTTGCCAGTGTTCCCAGTGTCCTTCCTCTTAGGTGCACATGGCTTGACAACCTCATCTTCAACTGGAGCCTTCGTTTCCGCTTCGTCGCGAAGGCGTTTGGGTTGGCATGGAGCTGGCCACAACTGCTCATCAAATAGCAACAGTTAGCGTGGATGCCGGTTGTGTATACTGAACATAACATACATTTTTCGGTCCCGAGTAGGCTTTACACACGGCATCCATGAGCTGCTTCAGACCAATACCGTGGCTCGCGTCGCCCAGCGGCGTGCCGTTGAGAATAACCTGCGCGTACAAGTTAGATTTGGAGAAGAGGTAAGGCATTCGGTACAGCCCTTCCACTTACGTATGGGACCCAAGGCACACGTAGTGCCTGCCTCTTTGCCACGTTCTAGTTTGTAATAAAATGCGGTGTTAGTCTGCGTCAGAAATCGCGGTAAGTAAGATATACAAACCTTTCGCAGGAGATCGTCACTCTTCGTGTCGTAACATGTTTTCATCTTCGTGAACGCTTCATTTTCAAAGCAGCGGTTGATGATGAAGCTCCACGTCATGCCCTTGTTGTCCTTACTTTCCATGCACTAGTTATATATCAATTGCATGCACAGTTGTCAGAAGAAAAGAGCGTAGTCAAAACTCGCGTCGTCAAATATATACTCACGGCGATACGTTCAACTAAGTCTCCAACTTGGTGGAATTCCTCGACAGCGCAACTTAGCCACTTGTGTCCCAAACATTCGACCATTCCGGCAGTACACACGAAGTTGCCCTTTGCGTCAAAAGACGTACCAGCAGCGGGTACTGGACGAAAATCGATGATCTCTTGGAACCTGGCGAAGCGAAAGCGTACGTCACACAGCGTAAATTAGAAAAATGATATGAAGACTAGTTCAACCATTGGTCGGCTGCCGAAACGTACTCTTTGTTTCGAACGAGCGAAAGCAGAGGCTTCGTGATAAAGGACATACAACCCGGGCTACACCAAAGAGTTGTTAGTTGCTGATAAGTACTCCGGAGCAAGCAACCCTATACAACACGTACCAAAATGCTCGCCAGTACATTTCAAGCTGAACTTTGCCTGCTACTGTAGTCGTCGTTGGGACGTTAGCGGGCGCAGGGGTTGCCACTTCTTCCTTCATATCCACGACAATATCGCCATCACCACCTTCAAGAGCATCAGCCTTTGCAGGGGCCCGAGCTTCCATGTTTACCGCTTCTTTTCCAAAAGCAGCAGCTGCTTGAGGATTCTCGCCAGCAGCCACCATCGGCTTGTCGACAGCTTCCTCAGGAGCAAATTCTTTCTGCTCACCAACGAGCTTCACACACTCCGCAGGGTAAAAGCTCTTGGGTCCAGTATACGCTGAGCAAATGCTTGTCTTCAACATATTCAGCGGAACTCCTTCCGTCGCCGACCCAAGCACCTTCTGATTCACAATAGTCTGTTCAAAACAACGACGTCAGAAAAATCGCGTCAGCACACAAGCTGGGAATTAAACCACGAATGAATAAAAAAAAAGACGTACGTATGGCATCCAAGGAACGCTTCCTGATCGCTCCTCGCGGATCATCTAACATGTAGGATGCAGCAAGTAAGCATTTTTCTACAGCAATAAGCCCAAATTCTTCGATCCAACCTTAACCAACAGGTCCTTGCTACGGTTGTCGAAACATTCCTTGACCACGACACGCTCTTCGTCCGTCAGACAGTTTTTCATCTTTGTGTTCCAGTCGCCAACCTGTCCGGACTCGTCTCCTTCAATGCACTGCAGGCACCACCATTACCACCCTCCGTCAGACCACAAAACCCAACCTAAAACCATGTACAAGATCTAGTTACGCACCGCAATTGTACCAAGGTACTTGACCACATCGTTGCGGTCCATATCCAGCGCGCAGACCTGCCAGCGATGGCCCGTGCACTCCAACGGACCCGCCTCGCATGTGATCGTCCCGTCCTGCTTCTCGTGCATCCCTGCGGCTGGAATTAGTCTGAATCAATTACAATAAACCCAAATAGTGAGTGATTTAGCCGTCGCAGGAGCATTGATTTGGAATCTCACGTCAGGTTGAGGATGTTGCGGTACTCCTCAGTTCGCACAAGCTCCAGCAGCGGGTCACCAACAAACCATTGGCAGGCTGGGCTGTGGGAATAGTGATAGAGAGTGATGGTCAATTGGACGTCGATGAAGAACGCATTGGATAGCGTGGAGCACCAACCAGAAGGCACGGAAGAAAACTCGCAGACTGACGCGGTTCTGTTGAGCCACGCCCGTCGATTCGGCATCTGCAAGGGGAGAGGCATGAAGTCCGAGCAGTAGCACAGATGTAGCTGCCGTCACCAAGGTACGCAGGAGGCCCATGGCGGCAGGGGAGAGGTGCAACTTCGAGCAGCTACGATACGCCACGTTCGGTATTGACTACGGTAGGCAGCCAGCAACTCTTTTATGAATCTCAGTTGTAGAGCATTTTTAGTGGCATAATCACATTTAAAGAGCGGTGTAAGAAATACCAATGTTGAAGGGATTGCTGTTGCTAATCTCGATCACACCGGGTCCTGCTAAGCTTATACTACATTAGTACATTCAAGTAGAAAAACTACTACCATCGCGGCCTCTGTGGGTATGAGGAGCCATGCACCCTTATTCGCAATACACACATAGGACCTGGAACTGTCGATCTACAGGTCTCGCCCCACGTGAGGAAGGCACGGACGGAGGTCGATAGAGAGTGGTCGTAGCTTAGCTTGGCTCCGCATACAGCGTTTGCTCGCCGATGGTATCGAGCGGAGCCGACTTGCCACCGTAGACCTCTGGAATGTCGTCACCCAGCTCTGTGTGAAGTTCCTCGCCATAGCTCAGCACCGTGAACTTGCGAATCGTTTCAGCTGACAGGAAGAGCTTGAATGCCGTGAACATCCAGCCCATGACCACGGGCACGTTGACGAAGAACTTGCGGCTCAACATCTCTGGGTACACCTTGGAGAAGACGTCAATGGTCTTCCGCGACGCAACCTTAACGTCCGGGTCTTGACGCAGGAATGAGATGTTGAGGTAGTCGTGAACTTGGATGCCCTGGTACGGATCGTGGCCCTCGCCGTAGTCGGGGATGGGAACAGTGGCTTCATTCAGCTTGAGTTTCTGGATACCCTTCTCCATGAGCGCCACACGCCAGCGCAGGAACCTGATGAAAAAAAAAAAAAAAAATGCCCACAAAGTCAGCACAATGATCACACCCCGTCGCCCCTTTCCATAACCAAACGCCGACAGTGCCACTTACTGGTCAAGGTTGCCGAAAGTGGCCTTGTTGTTCTTCACCGCTCCGTAGATATTGAACGTTACGACGTCCTCCTTGTTTTCGCTGCCTGGCACACCCTCGATCTCAATCACATAGCCCAAACCGCCAAAGATGTCCTTGGAGAACTTCTCGTCCAGCGTTTGCAGAGGCCTAAAGCTACTTCGCCACTCGAGCGTCTCTCCCAGCTGCGTTTTGGCCTTCTCGACGTCGTTGGCATTGGCACGGAGGAACTTCTGTAAAATGAGCTTGGTAGTGAACGGGCCGCTAGGGTCCAGCGTCACGCCATACACCTCGTTGTAGCCGTTGGCAGCGGTGATAAGAGACGGAAGCGCCTTGAGAAGTTGGTTGATGGGGTGATCCTCTGCGATGGCAGGCCACTCGGGTGCAGAGTTTCTAGACGACATCACTTCGACCGGTCAAGGTTTCTTCGAATATGAAGCGTTTCTTTGACATGGATCGATTGCACAAATTTTGGGCTACGTTTGATTGGATGAATCCTCTCGGACCAATCAATATAAACTTTGAGAATTCCATCCGAATTAACCTATCCATTGACTCAGTTTAGACCAAAATGTTTCTTGTAGTCTTAAATTCCGCCTATTGATTGGATATCTCGTTCAATTACGAATTAATCTACTGTTATATTTATCTCATCAGTATTATTCGTAGATGATTACGTTTTAAAGTAGTAGGCGAACGCGATTGGGTAAAGGCACACTTCAACATGGAATGTTGTGTTTACTGTTAGCAAAAATGTTACTCCGGACGACGGACTGAAGTGGAGCTATTGCTGTGTGCTGATGGCGAGTCTACTGCCTTCGGTGCTCCTAATCCAGTTATTGCCCACGTATCGCAAGAAGCCTCGTTCACAAGCATCTGCGATTTTCGCGCTATTTTTAGGAGTAGACGGCGGCTCCTACACTCTACACGTCATCATTCCTTCATTCTCGGTGCTTGAGAGCAATAGTAGAAGAGATGGCTCAGCCGCGGTACGTCGACCCACGCGACGATAACATGGTCGCTAATGCTGTCGACGAGGATGAGCTGGATGCACACCACCAAGTGCTGGGAATGGCGGCAGCTATCGAGCAACTCACGCAGGACTTTGCGAGGCAGCAAGAAGAATTGACAGCAGCGTACAAGAGACTGCAGCAGTATGAGCTGCGAGAACAGAATGGAGAATTTCCGACGACAAAGCAGATGACTCGACCTGGTACTAAGGGCAGTTGCGGTTGCAATCATCTAGCCCAGCTAGAAGAGTTGAAAAATCTACTTCAAGTGAAGGATTTGGCACTGGCTGAAGCCTTGCAACAGCGTAACGAACACCGCGTGGAGCTGGAGAAAGCAGAGGCATTAATTGCCGAGCTACGGTCGCTGCACCTCGACACCACAGGAGGTCGCGTGCCTCAAGCAGCATGGAAGATTAATCCTCCTCCTCTACCAGGCTCTGCTTCTACGAGCATGCTTTCTCGCTCTACTCGACATGCAGTAACGTCAATCCAATACGCCCAGGCAAATGTAGGCATTCGCACACCCATGTCACCGACAACAACAGCGGCCTTACTCGGGTGTCCAGGGGCCATCGACGTGCCTCACGACGAGCGGTTTGATACCGAAAGCGCGTACAAACAGCGCAATGAGACGGGCGATGTCTTTTGGCGAAAGCAGTACAAGGAGGCCGTGCGAATGCGAAAGGCTCCTTTATTGTCTTTAGGCCAGCAAAATAACACTACCGCAGCACAGCCGTCGCTGAAAATCTTTTCAAGTCGAGACAATCGCAAGAAAAAGACTGACGAAGTCCGCGATGAAACTGTGCCATCTACGCGTTACATCGGCATCAGTTCGAGACAAAACAACATCATCAAAGAGCAGCACCGCATGCTGGCAAGAGAACACGACTAACCTAACTCATTTTACTGAAAATGAAATCTATTCCGCTCTCCAAGACTTGTAAAAACTGAACGCGGCTCCATTATACAAACTCGATGGTGAACTGAAGCTACTGCTACTATGAATGCCAGCAACTGGTGGGTTGCAAAATGCTGGTGGATGAAGAAGTTCACATCCAATTGGGCCGATTATTTTTGTGGAGTGGTTCCTCGAAATTTTGACGCATTTACTCCGCGACTGGCACCGGTGCGGGGGCAGACGCAGCGGTGGCGGTGTCCACGGCGACAGCAGCTTCAGCCGCAGCCATGGCATCAATCGGCGCCTCAGATGTTTCGACCTTTGGCTCCTCGGGTTTAGCAGGCACTGTTGGGGCAAGGTACTTGCCTTCACGGGCCGACTTGATTGCTGCAGAGATCACAGCACGACGCTTGTAATCGCTGGCATTCTTGGGAATAGGCGGCGCCGGAACCGTACGTCCATCCACCACAAAGTGCGTGACGCGCTCATACGGGAACGGAGCAAGGCTCAACTCGTGAAAATAGCCCGAAATCTTGAGCCGACGTAAATAAACGTGGTAAATCTTGTCCTGCGGACGGGCCTCCACAACGAATCCGGATCCGAACGTAGTCAACACTCGCTCGTCCTTGTGGAATTTTGATTTCCTGTAAAACATCAAAGCATTGCGTTAGATCAGAATTGCTACAAAAAAAATTGTTTAGACATTTGCAACGTACGGAGTCATCTTGATCGTTGCCATGGTGGAAACTCTGGCCTTCACGCTAGAAAGCGTCGGCAGGTTAGCTGGAAGCGCAGGCAGATTAGTAGGAAGCGTAGGGAGTCCTCCTGCAGCAACGGAAGCACTGCGCATTCTCTCGCTGGCGTTCATCATGGACGTGCGCGTAATGTTCAGAATCGAGGACAGGCGCGTAGTCGCCGGTGCGAGAGTCAAAGCTGTCTCGGCATACACGTCGCTAATGAACATCAATGGCGATTGACCAGCAAGCGACGGCACCTCCAGCTCCACAGCATATGTCTCGTCCTCTTCGCGGAAATGCGCAATGTGTCCTGGTCCGTACGGCGTGTTGACGCGGTCTCCATTGACGAAATGTGTCCGTCGTCCCAGCATCCGCACCGAATCCGCGTTCAAATACGCCGTGGCACCGATTGGCGTCTTGACCACAAAGAACTTGTCCGCGCGTACTTCCAGCACCGTGCAAACACCGTAAGGCGTCTGCGCCTTGCCCAGGTCCGGCTGCTCCACCGCGTCATGCTTGGTGTTAACTGCCACGCTGTCTCACCATACGCAACAGGGTGAAAGGACACACAACAAACGAAAAAACATGAGAAACCCATCCCCGGAAACGATCTGTCAATATATAAAAACCCTCTAGAAACAGCAAAAAAAAAATCAGTACATGAATGTCTCTACCTCTTGCTGGTGTTGAGCTTGGACCCGACGCTTTCCCGCAGCGAGCTGTAGCCTTCGAACAAGCGGTTCTTAGTGTTCTGGATGAGCGTTCCACGTGGGTGGATCTTCTCGAACTTCTTGGTCGTGGCCTTCATGCGCCACACATGCTCGTCGTCCCAGCGCCAGTCCAGAGCGATGCTGTACATGTCCTCCTCGACGTAGTACTGCTCGACAGTGGCCATACCCCAGCGGGTCTTGACCCTCTCGCCCACCACACTCTTAATCTCCCTGATAATAGTTTCCTCACGCAGATACGCGATGCTCTTGGGCACCAACTGCACCACGACGAAGCCATCCTCGTTGCGCACATCCAGCACGGAGCCAGTGCCGAAGGTCGTGGCCACGCACATCCCGCGTCGTACCGCGAATACTGCGTCCGACTGGGGAGACGGCGAGCTCTCGGCGCTGCCTGTGGGCGACGTCTTGACTGTCTCTGCCGGATCGGGCGCCGAGTTCTGGCGCACGCTCATGCGGCGGTAGAGTGACGTTGCCGTCTGCTCGATGGACATACCGCGGCGACGGATAGCGGCGGCCGCTACAGATGCAGCGGAAGGAGCGGGAACCACGCCGTCGTGAGAGCGGCGCTCGGCAGGGAAGTCCGGCAACTCGCTCGGCTGGTCCTCGACCTGATTATTATCGTCCTGCACAGGCTCCTCGTCGGCTTCCTGATCGAGAATAGTGCCGCTGGGATCCTTCTTCTCCTTGCGGTAGGTGGGCACCTTGGGCAGGAACCCACCGAGCACGAAGCTTGAGCGCCTGGGCTTGACGGCGGCGCCGTGTTCCTTGCTGGTCGCGACCATCTGAGCTGTTCACCTGTGTAAGACTGGACGTTTGAGGTTGTGCGTGCGTAGCAGTTGCGCGGAACAGGAAATGGGTCTGGATGAAATGGATACAGCCGCTGGGGTAAGTAATTCACAAATGGGCACTTTTTAAATGAGGAGTCTGTTTGCACTCAACTGCCCGATTGGAAATGAAGCAAGTTTTACTGTACGCATGAACGAGTTATATGCTTCAACTACTGTGCTCGTACAACAACACCGCGACCATTTCAAGCCGACGTCTCTTTCAGCTTCGGAATGTTGGATAAGCGATTTATATTATGATCATTGCGAGAGCGTTCAAGCATCATTACGGTTCAACTCTTCACACGATTTCGACCAGCTTCAACTTATCGTGTAGACAGGGAGCTTGGACGCGAGCTCGAGCTACATTTCGTCATGGCTGCTACATGTATAAACCTAGGTCTACATGTGATACCGTTCTTGGTAAGACCAATGGTCTATCTTGACGGAGCACCTCTTTTAGGGTATTTGAGGATAACTGCACCGTTTGCGCACATATCCTCTCGTTTTTCAGTGACGCAAATGGGAATACAAAAGTGCTTTTGGGAGCGAAACGTAAAGGAAAGCACCGACACAGCTGTCCACGCTACAACTCCGAAGATGCACCTGTGTTGTCCCCTTCACACGCTTTGACTTCTTTGTTTAGAAATCTGCTAGTGCTGGTGGTGGAGATCGTACTCGAAGGAGCACACAATACCGGTTGATGCTAGCCAGCACTGTGACCTGCTCGCCTAAGGCCAGTCGCCTTGGCCACGTACGTGTGCAGCCATCTCAGACTGAGGTTCTCGCAAATCGTCAGTCTAAATCTAGCCCAAATTTTACTCCCAAATGCGTCTCTGATTCTGTTGCTGTGGACGGCATTGTTGAAATGTAGCCACTATTCGTCAGCGGTGGTGGTAAAGTCTCCAGCAGAGTCTTCCGGTGCTTCGGTCCGCTTCGACTTCCCGATACACTACAATATTGGAGTATGTACTACATGATCTGGCTAATATAGCTGATAGGTCATTTACGTCTGCCCGTGGCGAACGTCTTAGTCGCATTTCGCTACATGTAGCAGATGGCTTTGGCTAACACTCTGTTGCAGTTGCTGTTGGATCATGTTGCAATTTGTTTCTTTTAGCGCGTGATCTTTTGCCACTCGTTCAGTGTGAGCATGTGCATCGAGTCGCTCCGTAAGTGGTCGTAGTGAAGGCGTTTGGACACCACGCCGAGCTGCACTGGAGCGCGCATGGTCTGTCGCCGACGTCGTCGAACCACCTGCGGGCGGCCATCCATTTTCACCTCCACAACCTCTTCAATATCGCTGTCATCGTCGTCGCTGTTGAGCTCGTAGCTGTGGTAGTCGAGCGGATCGCACTTTTCGAGGTCATGCTGCTCCTTCGCCTCGAGATCCTTCAAGTTCTTCAAAGCCTCGTGTCGCTCCCTGGCATGCTGTGCTCGACGCTCAGCAGACGAGGGCTGATCATGCAAACATTGTGTTAGATGAAACAAGTGGCGCAATACGTAGCAAACGTACTCGATACGAGGAGGAGTTTAGTACTAGCTGCGAGCAAAACACGCAGACTGGAGCCTCGTCGTACAAATGCGTCATCCTCGCATGCGTCATTCCCTCCGCAACTTGCTGTGCAGCCTCGTCACTGCTTGTTGCTGTCCCGTTCGCTACTGCCCACGACGATCGTAGATCAACGATGCATTTGTAGGATACTTTAGTTGTGAGATTCTTCTTCGGGAACACGTACAAGCAAAGTGAACATGGCTCACTCGTGAGAGCCGCCATGGTACTGGTTAATAACGGTGTCTGTTCTTCCGCAAGTACGCGTCGCAATTGACGCAATTTAGCGCGTGTTTTGATCTTGTCAACTGTGCGCTGAGACTTCTCGAACTCCTGTGAATATGCATGCGATTTTGCCAACACACGACGTAGCTTCTTGATGGCACAACGCGAGATCGATCCAAACTGCTCCATGAGACGTTCCTCACTCATTTCCTCGAGGGACAACTTTGGTGCTTGTTGAGCAGTCATCTCGTCCTGCTTGGAGCTTCCATCTTCTTCATCGCCTTCGTCGACTTCTGGTGTAATCGCTGCTCCAGTAAAATCCGCGATATGAGGCAAACTTGCACGAAGCCCCACCACCAAGTTGTTGTGGTGGGCAATTGGTTTCGTTACTGCATCTGCCGTCCCTATCCCGTCATGAAGAGCACTACTAGACGTTGGTGAGCGCGATGATGGAGTTCTAGTTGGTGCTACAGCTTTCTTCTGCACCACGAGGTCTTTATGTGGAGTGAGCACACTGGTAGCACTAATGGGTCTCTTATTCGTTCCGGGAGTCTTTTTCACGAAGGAGCGCATACCAGGCGACATCGAAGACCTTGAGCCGCTATTGATCGACTCAACACTAGCTTTCGAAATGAGATCGGATGTGCTCTTGCAGACCATCGCAGACTTTGGTCGGAGCCCAATCGAAGACGAAGAACTCGAAAGTTTGGGTGTTCTATCGGAGGTATTATTGCTGGACATCGGCAAAGATCTTTTGCCAACGAATTTCAACTCTCTCTTCTTGCTCATGATCACAATTTGCTGTTGCGGAACCATTGCCTGGTTGCGGAGCGTTTGTGCTATTTCTTTCTCGTGTTGATCTACAACTGTCCGGATGAGAGCTTCGAGTAATGTCGTATTACCGCCACTGTGTTTCCCTCCAGTTGCCGGACTCCGAGGGCCAAAACCCAAGCTCTCCACCATTCGGTTCCACACCATTCTGGATGGAATATCTCGCTCCGTTCGCGTACATTCGTCAACAAGACATTGCGCAGTGGACGCGAGCTTGCAGGCCACCAGCCACTCTTGCACGAGTAGCAAAGCGAAGGCGCCTGTGTTGTTATTGTCTCCCGCCGTGTCCTTACGATGCTCCGGTGTAGACAGCACTGCCACAGCCATCGCGTGCGTCACAATAAGACCGTCAAGTTGTTCGGGGCTGTCCCTCGTTATCAGAATAGCTTTGCGACCTTTTGGGATCCCGCTCTTGAGAATCAGATCTGAGTATTTTACAAGCGAGAGAAATGGTGCGTGTTAGAGTGCTGGTTGACCACCAAGATGCACGCTTGTACGCGTACAAAATCACTCCCTGGCGGTATTGTGAGGGCGATGCTATGCGGTAAACTTACTAGCCATTGCTGTGGTGCAGAAGTTTCGGTTCTGTGGAGGCCTGGAGCCGCCCGACTGGCTGCTGGCCGACCTGCCGCTACTGTCGGGCGAGCACACAAAAGTGGTGCGTCTTTTTGTCTTGATTAAACCGTTAAAACAACGGAGTAATGTGCTCATTGTTGTGATGTGTTGGTGTTGGTGTTGGAGTTGATTCACAGACAACCAATGATCTGGTTGTTATGTGCGAAGCAATTGGTGTCGATATCGTGGTGCAGGTGCGTGGAGCAACTAAGATATTGCTTGCAAGATGCCGAAGGGTGGATCAAAGGGCTTAGTGCTGGATTTATACCAACAGGAGCTGAGTCAGGCGCAGCAGTTGTTTGAGGATGCTACGGACGCCAAGGTCTGCGAGTTTTGATCATTCTAAGCTGAGTAAGATTGGATTTTGATGTTTGGAGCTACATTGCAGGCTGCAGTTGCTGTGTTGCGCTTCATCTTGATGCATGCTTCCAAGTACGATGTCGAGCGCTCAGATCTAGTAGAGGAACTGCAGCAGTTGGGCATGCAACAGGAGACTGCGGAAGCCATAGCGCAGAGCTACGAGGACCATCGCGCTCGCATCCAAGACCAGCAACGCGCCCAGCGCTTTCAGGTACATCTTCTTCTTCTCCTCGACTCTGCGGATGTCACTCTCATATGTGTGATATCTGCTATGCTTGTGCTAGTTCCCCGGCGTCGAAAAACTCGAGTGGAAAGTGGACACCCCGTCCAAAGTGATCCTGAACTTGAAGCTGGACCAGCCGGTCGTGGAATGCAATGTAGCGACAACTGCTGCATCCGAAAGTCGAGAGCTCTGCCTCAACATGAGCAAGAACAAGTTTCTGGCGCTGTATGAGGAGCTCAGCCAAGCGCAGTCGCTACTGCATAGTGTCTAGCTAGTCACGGCAAGTTCCGCCCGTTTATCGGTTCAACTTCAGTGCGTCATCATGTCCAAAAATACGGATGTCGCAAACAACTCTGTGTCCGGATTCTGTCGCATTACACACTTATCCTCTCTTTCAGTCACGTAAGAATCCAGGTCAAAAGGAGACACTTGACTCCGGACAATGCTCCTTTCTCTGCGACTGTCTTCAAACCCAGAAACCCCATACAAAAGCTCCCCGGACCAGACCATGGGCGGTGGGTCCTGGGTCGTGCAGGAGGGCTTCTTGCTCTGCAGGCGCGATGGAGTCGCGTCCCCACACAGCGCAGGTGCCAGGCCTCTCAACGGGAAGCCAACTGTTAGCAGTAAGGGCCTTACGGAGATTTATGTAGTGCTCACAATGAACCGCAAGCTCGAGTTCTTCGACAACAGCGACGGCGAGACCCGCAACAAGGTGGATACTGCGTATCTGCTCGGGTTCGGTGGTTGGGATGGAGATGGTCTACTCAAGGTGGACTCGTACGGACTGGAGCTCAAAGTAGAGCGCAACGCCAAGTCGCGGATGCATCTGGCAGCTTTCAACCGCGTGGACCTCGAGAAATGGTGTCGAGGGTTCATGGCTGTACTAGATCCCCATAGTGCAGCAGGGGAGGAAGTCCGACGTGAACGACGTCGAGTTAAGAAGGAAGAAAAGAGGCTGCAACAAGAAAAAGAGGAGCAGATCCGCAAGTGGAAGGAGAAGAAGGCGCGGATGATCAAGGAGGAGCAGGACCGACTACTAGCTCGAGAGGAAGAGATTAACAATATGACGCCGTTGGAACGGATCGATGATATTGGCTCACTAGACGACGACACAGCCAGGATGCTGGAGAAGAGGAAGCAGAGACTACAGCGTCGACATGCACCTACTATGGGAAGAGTCAACAAGGCTGCATACCGACGGCGTCTGGAGGAAGCAGCAGGAGGGAAAACGGAGAATGTTCAACCCTTACACACCAAAGTGGTGGAGCAGAAGGCGAAAATTCGCGTGGAACTTCCTCCTCCAGGACAATGTAAGTGCTTTTCTACTGAAAATTGTAGCAATTTTCGGTCTAACGTGATTACAAATTTGTGCGCAGTTTTCGAGGTCGGTGGTGTTGTACACACTGACTCGCCGGTGCGCCTGGGATCCTCTGGGAGTGACATATCGGACAGTTCTTCCATGTCATCTCGACTTTCTTCAGTGTCGTCTGCGACCGGCTCCAGATATGATGGTGGAATGGGCAACGTGCCTCCTCCCCCGCCACCGCCTCGCTGGTCCAGCAGTTCTCGTATCTCCGTGTCTTCTAGAGCGTCAATGGGCATTCCCCCTCCACCGCCGCCTCCTCCACTCTTCGACCACGAGAGTTTCAATGACGGCGAGCCTCGATTCTCAAGGTCCAGCAGCAGTTTACGCAGTGCATCGTTTGATTCCTTTGCTTACGATCGAGACGAAGACCTCATCGCATCCCGCGCGTCTTTTTCGCAAAGCACTCGTCGTATTTCGAGTGCAGACAAGAACAAACAACATGTTCAAGACAATTTGGCTGCAATTTTGGGTGGTGGGAGACCAAAATCTACGTCTCGAGCATCTCGCACGAGCCGCCGCGACTCGTTTGGGTCCACAATGAGTTCAATAACAACAAATACTTACGCGGTGCCTGACAGGAAACCAAAGAAGAATGCGAACCGATCGAATGGAAGTAATAGCCCTCCAGCTCCTGAGCCTTCGATGGCAAACGCGTTCGCTGCGAGCCTAGCAGCGATCCGTCGTAACCGTGCAGACACTGTTGAGGAGATGAGCGTCGCCAGCAGTGCATTAAGTCCCGTAGAAGCAAACGGGAAGGTGCGCAATCGGAAACGTGATTCTCAGCTGAGTGCTGAAGGGAAGGAGATCTTGAAGAAGGCGATGGCGCAGGATGCACCATCCAAACCCAAGACACAGTCGAACTCTGGTCGTAGAGGATTATTCGATGATAGTAGCAGCGAGGAGGACGATGATTCCGATACTGGACTATTTGGTGTGGGTGGAAGGAAAAGCAAGGCGGCAAATGGCAACTCTCGTGTTTCAACCAGTATGCGTTCCAGTGATTTGAGTGTGGCTGCGCGCCCAACGCCGGTGAAGAAGGCGGCCCTTGCGCCGTCTGTGAGCAGTGATGAAGTATCAAGCGACTCCGAATCCGACAATGGTACGTACTCTAGCATCATTAGTATTAGTTTGATATCGTCATTCTGACCTGTTATGCGTAGATATCTCATTCTCCGCGCAGCCACGCAAAACGGAGTCTACAAGTCCCAAGAATGTCCCTAGGAACAATGCTGGAGCCGGCGGAGCAGGGCCCAGTGTTGTTGTGTTATTCATGTCATCTGCGTTGCGCACCGAAGGAAGAAAGTCAGTCGGCGTGTTCACGTTTACGCTCCAGTTTGGAAACATGGAGCACACGTTTTCATTCACGTACTCGGAGTTTGAGGAGATCCACACGCGATTGACGGCAGCTTTCCCTGGGATCACATTGCCCAAGTTCCCGTCGAAGCATCGCTTGCGTAACAACACAAAACCAGAGAACATGGAGAAGCGTGCGCAGGAATTCCGTCTGTATTTGCAGCAGTTGGTGGCGTTACCTGGAGTGCTGTCAAGCGAGCGGTTCCAGTTTGAGTACCACATCGACGGTGCTTTTGCGCGTGCACTGGCGAACCAGAAGCCAAACGCGAGTGCTACGAATGGTTCTCAATCCATCGGACGACCTCCAAGAAGCCCAGTAGCACCTCAGCCCAGGAAGGAACAGACAGTATTGTCTACGTCATCTCGAAGCGATAGTCTCCCTCGAGCTGCCAAACCAAAGGTATCGAAGGGGCTATTTGGTTTGGATTCCGATCCAGAGTCGGACTCAGACACATCGGTTGATACTCCGAAGCCAATGACACGACAGCGACGTGAATCTGCAGCGTCATCAACACAACGGAGGAAGTCCAGAACATCGGACTTTTCCAGCAGTGTTATCAGTTCGGTTGCTGAAGATACGCAGCGTGGCAAGAAGACTCGATCACGTTCACGACTGAGCTCTCGAGCGAGTTCCAGGGCGAGCTTTGCACCTCCTCCACCACCTGCAGAACCTCCAAAACCAGCACTAACGGGGTTGCCATCTGGACGTCCGAACCCGTTCGCTGGTGGTCGTGGTGATCTGTTGGCAGCGATTCGACAGGGTACTCAGCTTAAGAAGACCAGCTCTGGAGACTCGGCGGGTGACAGCTCGTCTGGCGGTGCATCAACCGCCGCAAAACCTCCGCCGCCACCAGCACTCACACAACCAGGCTCAATCAATGAAGCCATCACGAATGCCATGGCCATGCGGCGCATCCACGTCGAGTACGAGGAAACCAAGTCGGACGCCGACTCGGACTCGGATGATGACTGGGATTAAATTGCTCTCGGATCAAGTGGAGTGATGGAGGCTCAGCAAACCTACCTATGCGGGCTCCATCGGAAGAGCACGACGATGAAAGGCATGAAAGCGAGAGCATAATAACGTTATAGTATGTACGACGCCGAGATGGCGGCAAGGAGTGGTGGCTAGTGGCTGCCGAGCATTTCTGATTAGAATTGGCATTGAATGAACAAGTAAATCGTTGGATAGGCTTGACACCTTATGGGGTTGCTTTAGCTCATTGCTCGTCCTTTGGGATCACGATGCTGCCCTCGAATTTGCCGGGAGATGTTGTCTAGCCACAAAAATACAGCATGAAAAAGCTAAGCGTACACTAAAACGCTACGCATGCTTAATGCAAAACCAAACGCACCTCCTCCATGCTACTGAAAATTATGCCGACCACGGAGAACGCGGCAGCCATACCCAGGCCCCACACGAAACTCTATACATCAATCATCAACAAGTAAGCCCTCAACTCTTCACCAATAATTCAAGGCGCCAGTATGGCCAGTTACTGACCTCCTTCATGACACCCCCGAACGTCTGCGGTGTCTGCTGCTCGGACTGTACGAAGGGGTTGGCCGGCGGGGGCGGCGCAGGGGCCTCTGTAAGTGCGTTCTTCGGCTTGGGCGCTTCAGGCACGATACGACGTGCCTCACTCTTCTTGACGCGAATGGGTTTCGCGCGCTTGATAGTGGAGAAGCCTCGCGCGGCGGCAGGTATACGCGTTGAGCAGCGCAGGATCGGGAGTAGCACAGACGACGGCATTTTTTTTCGGTTCGGAGATGAAATTGGTTAGCGTAACCTTTTGGAAAGTGTCGTAACTCAAGGTTACGATAGTGTAACCTGTGATTACTCCTAAAGCAAGTACCAACTCAAGCTCCTATCTCCGGATGGATTTTCGTCGCAGCAACAGCATATTGTGGGTTGCTGGCTACATGCGTTCGCTCCAATAATGGGGGGACAATAATGGAGACCAAGAAGCCTGCATTGCAAAGACTGTGGCGAGCTCGGTAAGCGAGGTCTTTTTGAGAACCAAGTTGTTGGTGCGAGATTCTTGCCACCATGGATCGACGATGTCTTCAACGATCCCACGCTCTCGACATCACCGCGGTGACCGCTGGTCACTGATCGATCGTTAGTGGCGCGTCTGCTGCCTCGAGCAGAGCGGGCAGCTTTCTCCTCGCGTCGTCTGGGCAGAAGTTGCTGGTCATCGTGAAAAACGTAACAAGACAAGAAGACACACTCATGGTTACGTGTATTGCACCCTTGCAGTACATGGGTCGATAAACTCAGTAAATAAATAATTTACTTTCTTCTCCAGTAGCTCCACCTATTGTACGTGTGTGGTGTCTTCATGATCTTCGATCAAATCGCCCTCTCTCGTCTCTCCCTCTTGTTGATTGTTGTGTTCCCTCGTTATTGTTCTCTTCTTCTACTTCGACGATATCTCTTTCTTTCTCTCTCCCTCTTTACACCGAGAAGCTGGCGTCGAAAGACCCTGCTGGACTCGGTCGCTGGCTTGCTGGCACTTCGTAGCCCGATAGACTCACATAGCCAGCGTCGTAGCTGCTCGGGTTCTTACCAATGAAGGTGCTAAACGCCTTACTCTTGCATAGCGTCGGATGCGCGTGGATTACCAGAAGGAGCTCCTGCAAGCGCGCCGCTCGTGCGGTAAGCAGCTTATCAGGAGACACGAACATCTGGAAGACCGACACGATGCCATGTGGTGGCAGCTCGGGCAGCTCTGACAGCATTGACAGGCCCTCGTGCAGCAACTTGAAGTCTGTGAAGCGGCGACGCACCACATAAGCGTTACTGTCGCTGGGTCCACCAACGTCCACCTTAAACATCCAGGTGCCATGGCTATTCTTGGAATATCCAGAGATGGCCACTGTGCGGACCAGGTCGATCTCGTCGCCTGCTGAGTACGGGCGAGTACGCGCGGCGCCTCTGGTCGGGGCGGCGGGGGCTAGCATGCGCTCCAGACGCAGTGCCGACTCCGAGTGGCTTTTACGTCTGCGAGTGCGGCGGAAACTTCCAGTGGCCACCAGTGTCCCTGTACTGGAGCTGTTCGAGATGGTGGGGCGGCTTGGCACGTAGACTATGGCGGTCGCGCTTGGTGTCGTGGGGGTGGCGGCTGAGGCCATTGGGGAGCTGGATGGCGAAAGTGACGCCGGCTTGAGGCTCAGGCGGTACACCATGGGCGGCACAGCCGTGACGTTCCTGTAGGTGATGGAGGTTCCCCGCGGGGAATACTCCGGGATCATCATCTTGGTGGCAATATGGTGGCGATGCGGGCACCAGCGAGTATCTGTGTGTGTGAGTTTGGGTGGGTGGGGGGGTCGAAGAACGATACAGCGACCAGCTCCACCAAAAATGCAACAAGCGACTTGCCCTGTTCGAGGCGTATCGGAAAGTGAGGGCAGTGGCACACGCTGTTGGTGCCCGGAGCGACAGGGCGAGCAGGCCACGAAAATCAACCCGCAGAAACAGGGCAACGGTGATGCGTCCAAACACTTTCTTTTTGTAAATTCTGCCTAACGGGCGTTGACTTGGATTAAAGTATACTTTTGAAAAGATACGTTTTGGACGGTGCAGTGATGGTCTCACAGCTGGTGGCGATAGTCAAGCTGGTCTTGCATGCAGCAGTTGGTGCTGTTGCAGGCGGCGTCTTGGTGCGCTGGGCGTCGATAAAGGAGTCCTTCATGACGGCGGCGTGTTGTAAATTTATTGGCCGGGAAAGCCTTGCCAGGATGGCTAGTCTTTGTGGCATTAACCGAGCAGAGACTGGAGCGCGGCAGCAAGTGAATTTTCATCACTCCTCGCTCGGCCAATGCCGACAGCGCGTGGTGGCAGCGCTGGCATCATATCACCCGGACATTTTTCCCCATCGAAGCGGTTGCGGACGTCTGCGCTGAGGCAAAGTTGCTGCGTTGTGGATGGCTGCGACTTGTCAGTCACTGCCAGCGCTTTAAGCGAGACTCGTCAATGGGATATGATACATGTACTGACACGTCGGGCGTGGCAGCAGAGATAAGAGCGGATTGATGGCACAGCGAACACTGAAGAGCATGGACACGCATGGCCCCTTCAACCAGGCCAAGACACCATGTGGTGATTAAGCTCGCATTTTGCGGGGCCGCTGCAACGGCGAGCGCTCTAGCGGCCACGAGCCACAAGCTTATTGGATACCGTTGGTGGGACGGCCGAACGAACCTAGTCAGCAAAAGCAATGGCTCTGTTGAGCCATTGCTGTTGGGTGTGCACGGCCGGCATGGCTCCAAGATCGGTTGGGTTGCTATTACATGTAGCACCTAAATGTGACAGGCGAAAAACTTATTCGGAAGCTGCGATACCTGTGAAAAAAGACCTTCATTGCGAGATCTGTCGTGGTCTGACCAGCGAGGAGCGCGGGGCAACTCATCAGCGGCGCCAGCCATAAAATACATTCAGCACCTGCCGCTTCAATTTTGGTGAAAAATGACCGAGCCGGTTGGAGCTGCTCCTTGGGCTCGACCGGAGCTGTCGCAGCGCCAATTTGGATGCGCCTGCATTGCGCAGTGTGGCGCTTCTGAAGCTGGCGACTATCCTGACGTGGCTCTCATTGTTGCTGCCCAACTTGGGCCCCAAGCAGCAGCAATAGTTGTGAGTTCGAAATGGGTTCAACAGTGATTTAGCAAAAAGTATCTTTTCGATTCTGAACATTGATGCACCACGTCAGCGTCGTTCGCCGTGATTCAAGCAGTGCTGTTGTTGACAGCATGACAGATCTGGGGCTGCGTTGTGCGCTCGCACTTGGTGCTTGGTGGCACCGATGGTGCTGACGTGGAATGGCTTCGCGTGCGTCAGTGCTTGAGCGCCGGTGCGTAACGTTCGGCTCTACATGGCTTGTGACTGCCGCCACGGACGGCAGTGCCGTGGGGTTTTGGCGTGTTGATTTGTTGCTGCGTTGCCTGTTCGTGGACATTTCCGTCGGTGGCACGTAGGCGAGTATCTGGTCGTCCAAGGTTCGGTTCTGCTGGCCACCGTTGCGTTGTCGAGTTCGGACCAGTAAAAGCAGCATGTTGGTCGCGCTCACAGAGAGTTACAGTGGTGCACTGGCAAGCTGCTTGACACGGCTTGCGTAATGTGTACTTGCCGACGAGTTGCCATGTTTTTCCAGCAGCGACCCAGGCTAATATGAAGTGTGTGACGCGTAGTGCGTGTACTTGGCATCTTGTGCTAACAACGCTCGTGTACTTTGTGAGGAGAGCGGCGACGGATCCTGGCGGTAGCCAGCATAGAAGACGATCGGGTCGAAGCGAGCTACTTTTGATGGTACGCGAAGACAAGATATATCAAAAGAAATTCGACTGAATCGGGGCGGCACTGCTCAAGCCTCCAAGGAGTAGTTTGATACGCTTGATGACAACGAACAAGGCTTGGTTTGAGGCGTGAAACCGAGGCGCTGTTGCTCGAGAGAGGATAAAACTGGAGGGCCGGCAAAGTCAGGGTACTGTGTAGCTACTGAATCCTCGTCCCGATATGTTTAATCACAGCGTACCGGTGTACAAAAAATCTTGCAAGGTGAAAGCGATTGATGACAGTGGAGCATCTTTGGAAGACAACAACTTATCGAAGTGAACGCTGCCTGGTTACGTTCGACCACTTCATCGTGCACAGGTGAGAGGAATCACTTCCGGCTCTAGTGGTTTCTCATCTCGCTTAATTTACTTCTCTACTGTACGCCTTGTGCAGATTGAAAAAAAAATAACAAGAAGCTATAGCTGGAGCAGGAAGTCGCGTCTTACGATATTCGTAGCTGACTTGCTCTAGGTGCAACTAAATCTTCACCCTTATCGTGCTAGGCTGAACAACCATTGCACAAGTGAAGCTGCTATTACTGTTAACAACCGACTTCGTTTTTTGAAGAAATTGTATCATTCTTGGCGCTCACACGCATGATCACGTTCGTCATGGCCTAGACAACCTGCTGTTTCCTTGACTGCCTGCTATAGAGCAGAGGTGCTGCATTGTGGTTACTGCGCAGATCTTTGTGGCCACCGGGACAACAACGGAGTCGATTTAGCGCCTATGTGGTCAACATCGTGATGAGCCGGGCTCAAGTTGAAGTGGCCTTTTGACTAATCATATCAGTTTCAACCAATAAGCTTCATTCGTTGATTTCATTCAATCACAATCGTTCAGGTCACGTTTCATTGACATCAAGTTGCAGCGCACTGCATTGCCCATTCTGCCCCGCGTCAGCCATGCCGCCGTCCTCTCTCCGATGGGACGAGTCCCAAATGCCCTCGCAGCATGGCCGCTTGGTTGTCGTTACAGGCGCCAATGCTGGCTTGGGTTTTGCCACCTCCCTGGCCTTCGCTCGTGCTGGGGCACACGTGATTCTGGCATGCCGCAACGAAAGTCGCGGTCTCGAAGCGCAAACGCAGATTAATGGCCAGATTCAGGCCGACAAAGCCACTGAAAGCGCCATGGGCGTAGTGGAGTACATGCAGCTGGACGTCGGCTCGTTGCAGAGCGTGCGCGACTTCGCGTCATCCTTCAAGACGCGTTTCTCGGGACATCGACTCGCCATTCTGGTGCTGAACGCTGGCGTTAAGGCCGTCGAGTACGGCGAGACCGTAGACGGCTTCGAGCAGCAGTTCGGTGTGAATCACTTGGGACATTTTGCTCTCACAGCGTTGTTACTCCCAGTCATGAAGATGGGTGTGGCAGGAGCTGCTACACCAGCGCGGGTCGTGTCGATCAGTAGCATTTCTCATCACGGCAGCTCACTGGACATGAAGCAACTGAGTGTGAAGCCTGAAAATTACGACGCGATGGGCGCGTATCGAGCCTCCAAACTGGCCAATTTGCTGTTTGCCTATGAGCTTCATCGACGACTGGAAAAGGCAGGCATTTCGCCCAAGCAAGTGCTGTCAGTGGTGTGTCACCCTGGTGTCACGGAAAGCAACTTGTTACCCAACCTCGCGAGCACTTACAACTCCGTTATCATTAAGGCTATCATCGGCTTTGTCCACTGGCTGCCATGGGCGCAGAGCAATGCTCAAGGCGCACTCAATATCTTGTGTTGTGCCACAGATCCGAATGTTGTCAGTGGTGAGTTTATCGGACCTCACGGATTGAGTGAGTTCTACGGTTGGCCGCGGACGGTAGCATCGAGTAAGCAAAGCATGTCACTGGACGACGCCCGTGAACTTTGGGAGGAGAGCGAGAGACTGACGGAAATTAAGTTCTCCGTTGACGAATAAACCAAAGAATTGTTATTGACATTTTGAAAGTTAGCACAACAAAACTTCGTAAAGTGTCGAAGTCCGTGTATATACAATGAACTTGCTCATTCCAGTAGCTCGCCGTCAAACATTGGCTTGATAGCAGTAGCGAAGTACGGGGTTGGGCCCACGCGATGGTGCACAACGGCGAGTGCTCCTTCGTAGATGCTGCCGTCAGCACGACCGACCGACGAGTTCACCACCGTATCTGTAAGCATGAATGCGTCAACGAGAGCCACAGCATCATCACGCACACGAGCACAGCCTTCCATCAGCCTCGCACGGACGAGGTTGCTCTGGAATGGCGACATGAACCTCTGTTTGAGTAAGAAGGCGGCACCGCGATCAAGTTCTTGACAAATATAAAGCTGGCACAGAGCTTCCAGTGCTGGTACGAGAGTCTCGTTCTTTCCTGACGATTTCATCTTGAGCTCTTCGATATGCTGAAGAAAAGCTGAGGCAACATTGTAGAACACGTGAACACGCGCAACCTCAACAAGGTCCACTTGGCACGAATGCATGCGCTCAGCCTCAGTCGTTCCATTACCAGCAGCCAATTTAGCTGCTACCTGCAGCACTTGACGACCAGTGTACACGTCTAGCGCATCTCGAAGCAACGCCGCATTGTTCAAGTCAGCAGAACCCTCTACACCCCACTGACGACGTAGGTTACTAGCGTGCTCTCTCTCCAGATACTGCACTGACCCGGACAGCTTTTCCCCACGGCGTAACTTCTCCACTGAGCGCATTAGATAGTGTGCTGTCTGCTGCGCCATGACCGTGTTATCTCCCTCGAACGTCACCATAACTGAAAAGTCTGCTAGAAGCTCCGCTAGGCCCGTGTACTTGCTGTACCCGTTGCCACCGCAGCTCTGTCGACAGGCATCAATTCCTTCCTGGACATCCCATGTACAAAACGCCTTAAAACCAGACATTGTGCCATGAATATCGGCCAAAAGCGCCTCTGAGATGTCGCTTCCTTGCGTATCAAATTGCTGCAGTAGGCGAGTGATGTGCCTGGTCTGCAGTCGGTAGGCATACGCGCGTGCTAGCACTGGCATTAGACGGTATTGATGCGTCTGGTAATCGAGTAAACGCGTTTCAACATGAGGATCCTTAGAATTCACTTGCAAACCTTGACGTCGCACAGCGGCATAGCGCACAGCGATCGTCAGTGCCTTCTCCAATACTCCAACACTCAAGGTCACGATCTTGCCACGGTTCACAAGCAGAGCAGCATACGCCAACTGCGCCTTGTGTTGCGTCTGAGAAAACACTCCATCTCTCGAGACTTGAGCATAGCGACGCAGCATGTTTGCTCTTGGGATACGGACATTGTCGAACTGGATCCATCCATTGTCCACTCCTTGTAGTCCCATCTTGGAGCCCATGTCACCGATTCGTACACCGGATAGAGGGCTATGTGTCTCCACGTCACGTAGTGGCACAATGAAGCTCTGCACTCCGTGGTCAGCATCATCATTCGGTAGCACAAGTCTCGCAAAGCACACCGTGTGTGTGGCTGTCTGTCCAGCTCCACCTATCCACCACTTGGTCGCCGTGTCTGTGGGCGTGTGGATCACGAACTCATCGGTCTTTACGTCGAATGTTGCCGTGGTCTCGAATCCCCTCGTGAAACTACCATGACCGAGCTCCGTCATACCGTAGCAGCCGAAGAGCTCCAGCATCATAGTGGGCAGCATCCACTCGTCTTGTTGCTCCTGGTCTCCCTGACCCATTATGGCGCCCAAAAAGAGTCCGAAGTGGACGCCGTTACGTGTCCACAGAGGCAGATCGAAGACGCCCACAATGTCCGTCAATGTCTCGCGCTTCTCTACGTCACCGCCGTGCACCATGAAGAGCGAGTACAGGCGGCGCAAGCGTTGCACAGTGTGCTCTCGACGCTCAGCCAGCGAACGGTCAAAGACTCCGACATCGTTACGGAATTCTGGATGGTCCTCCAGTAGCTGCATGGCCTTCAAACGCACATCGGTCTGCCTCTTCCCACCGAAGATGAAGTCGGCCATGGCGCGAGGCGAGAAGCTGGCGCGGGCACGCTCCGCTGCAAGTTCTGCGACGGTTTGGTCCCGTGTGGAAACGGCGCATGGCACGGGCTGTAGCTGCCGCGATAAAGCAGCTAGACGGCGAGAGGGGCCGGACGTTGTGGCCGACATGGTCAGCGCAAATGCCGAAGTGGCTTGAAGTGGACGTGAACATCATGGCCAAGCTTGACGTTCGCCTGCGGAAGATGATCACATCGTTATTTTACAGGGATATGTTGTGCTGAGGGTAACTGTAGACAATGAAAATAAAAACTGTTTGTATGGGTACATCAAGTACTAATTTTGAAAGTGTGATTAGTCTGGAGGTTTCTCCCCATAGCTGGTTGCGCTGGAAGTTGGCCTTACCCAAGTGTCATGGTCAGAATTCACTCGTTGTCCCCGCTGCCAGCGGAGGTGAATGGCCCCTAAAAGTAAAACTCTTTAAAAACTGGGGATCTTTCAGCGCCATTGAGAAGTTTAAATGGACCCGACTTGCACTAGTCGCACCACGCTTCACGAGAAATGACGGGTGGAGAAGCCGCGCCAGGCGTATGTGGCTCCTTGATCAACTGCAAGTTGCGCATATTGACAATGATGTTAATCCTTTTGCAGACCGGCAAGCTCCCGCTGTGCTCGGCCTTGTCCGACAAAACTGGAGTTGATTTGGACGACGAGAGCCGCCCCGACTTTCGGTCGATGATCTTCTTCTTCCTCTTCTTTCTCTTAGAGTGCGTCTTGGACCGCGCGTTGTTTAGCAGCTTCACTTCTTCGTCGCTGCCCAAGCTCACAGTATGGCTGACACTGGAGCGATGCTGGGACTGTAGTACTGGCTTGGCGGACATCGGACGTCGCGGTAAGCTGTCCGCGACCAGAACTGGACTAGATAGACGTGCAGACATCAGAGGTCGGGACTCTAAGCGGACTAGCAAAAAAGAGCGCAGAATTAAAGCGTTTGTCACTTGCAATGATAACCTTCTTGCATCCACTTACCGGTGCGTTCAGGAACTCGCTCACTGGTTTTAGGACGTTCATATTCCTTGTTCTCTGCACAATCACATCGCTAAACAATAAACACCTACAAAGCCATCGCATTACTCCCAGAATTGCATCGTAGAAGTACTCACTCCTCGACAAGGATAAGTTTAACGTCTTCCCGTTGCAGTGAAGACTGCGACTCCTGGTGGCTGCAGACTCGCGTCGAATGAGCTTCAGCTGCGCAAAGTCATCGACTGTCTTCTTGCCTAATATTTTCTGCTGAGCGTTACGAAGATGCGCGACCTCTTTATCCTCGCGCTGCTGCGTGCGCTTCTCGGCCAGCAACTCAGTGTGGAGCTTGAAACCAACTGCAGGTCAATGCATCATTAGTATCGTCCAGGCCAGCTCCACTCTGATACAACAGCCTCTCACCTGGTGTAGTGGTGCTCTTCTTGTGTTTACTCGTCGCATTATCATTCCCCTTGCTTCGTCGCGAGCGCGCAACTTGTTCCGTCTGCTCCATGATTAACTTTTTGACCCGCTTCAACTTGAAATCTCATACCGCGTCTTCTCATTAAAATACGAAGATGAAATCAATGTGGCGCACACAGAACATACTTGAGTTTGTGAGGCATACCAAATCCTAGTGTTTCCGTCGCCCCGCCCTTGCCCCAGCACCACTTCCAAAGAACCGCTCGAAGACCAAGAAGCGTTTGCTGCGGCGTCCAAGTGCGCATGAATCCGTCGTATCCAGGCTCGTCGGGAGACCGCCACGGGCCACCGTCGCTCAGCTCGGCGTCCAGTGCCGGTCTGGGTGGAAAAGGTGGACCGCCCTCTGGTCAGCAGCAACAGACGCACAGTTACCACCCGCAGCCGTCGATGGCGCAGCTCAGTCACCTGCACCCGCTACATGGCGGCTCGCAGCAGCAGCAGCAGCACTCCATTATGCACCCGAACGGACCTGTATTGCCTCCCCCGCCCCTCCCCGGCTCACTAGGCGGCGGCGGGCCCAATACGTCGCGCTCGCCGCACCCGCTCTCGGGTTCAATCCTGCACCCGCCGCGCGGCAACCTGGGCTCATCCAGCGGAAGTGGCCCACCCTCGGTGCTGGGCAAACCCACTGGTTCCCAGGGACCTCCGCCCTCTAACGCGGGCGGGATGATGGGCCATCCAGTCCGCATGCAGGCGCCCAATATGAGTCAGAGTATGGGCAACGTGCAGCAGTCCATGGCTTCGTCCTCAGGTGGACTCAAGCCGCCCACACAGGGCTATAACGTGCGTCCCCAGTCGCCCCCTCGTCGCCAAGAGACGCAGCAGCAACAACAGCAGCAGCAACAGCCTCAACAGCAACAACAAGTGGTCCAGCAGCACTACGGACTAGACGGACGCATCATCCCGAATGACCAAGTAGAAGGGGACTATTACCAGCAACAGCAAATGTCGGGTCCTCCTCCGCGTCATCGCGAACTCCGTGTGGAAGACGCGCTGTTGTACCTGGACCAAGTGAAGCAGCAGTTCGGAGACCAGCCGGATATCTACAACCAGTTCCTGGACGTCATGAAGGACTTCAAAGCTCAAGCGATTGACACTCCCGGGGTCATTCTTCGTGTATCCACTCTCTTCCGAGGATACCCGAACCTGATCTTGGGCTTTAACACGTTCCTACCGCCAGGATATCGCATCCGCCCCGACACGTCGATTGAGGTGATTCCCTCACAGATGGCTGGTCGTGGAGGCGTTCAGCAGTCCATGTATTCAAATGTGGGAGCTCAGCAGTCGTCCAGCGCCAACATGGGCCACCGTCCGCCTCCAGTGACGATCCCGCCGCCTCCTTATTCCCCACCAGAGCTTCACAAGCCGACGCCGTCGTCACGTCAACAATTGGCTCCTGCTGGTCAGATGAAGACTGGTGGAAAGCCCAAGAAGCAGCAGCAACAGGCTCCTGCGCCAAGTGGAGGTAACGCTGCGGCACGAAGCTCGACAAACCCTGTGGAGTTCGATCACGCCATCCACTACGTGACTACTATCAAGCAGCGCTTTGCAGATGAGCCAGAGACGTACAAGGAATTTCTTGCCATCCTACACACGTACCAGAAGGAGCAACGTTCCATCCGTCAAGTGCTGGACCAAGTCTCGCACCTGTTCCGTGACCACCCGGACTTGTTGCGCGAGTTTACGTTCTTCTTGCCCGATGCAGTGCAGGAACAAGCCAAGGAGCGTCTGAACCGTGCTGCTGAGAAGGCTCAGCAACGTAAGGACCAGATGGCGCAAAAGGCGCGCAAATATGGATCACAGGGTTACCAGGCTGATCGACGTGATGATCATGGTGGGGACTCACCGTCCAGCGCTGCGATGAAGGGTCGTATGATGGCCGATGATGAAGACGCGTACATGAAATACGGCAAGAAAGGAGGCAGAGGCTACAAGGACGACGACCACCGCCTCAGTGGTAAAGCTCTGGAGCGTCGCGAGAAGGAGCGAGAGCGCGAACGCAACCGCGCGCAATTTAACCACAAGCGCAACAAACGGCGCCCATACGATGGAAAGGAACGTCGTGCGTACCTGGCAATCTCGGATGTACTTCTGGACAAGGAAGAGTGGAACATTTTCGAGAAGATTAAGAAGATTCTACCGTCTCGTGACAACTGGCGCGAGTTCCTTAAGTGTTTGGAACTGTACAGCCAGGAAGTACTGGACCGGAACGAGATGCTGTCGCTAATCAGGAACCTTTTCGGTCGTCACACAGACCTTGTGGAAGAATTCGACCACCTTTTGTGCTCGCATGGTGTACAGAAGACTCCCAAGGAGATCTGGCCGTTTATTCCCCTAGCTGAGACGGACTTGTCGCAATGTCGCCGTGCCACTCCATCGTACCGTGGTCTCCCTGCTAGTTACCCGATCCCGCCATGCTCTCACCGCTCAGCGCTCGAAAAGGAAGTGTGCAATGACTCGTGGGTGTCTGTGCCTACTGGTAGTGAAGATTTCTCCTTCAAGAGTATGCGCAAGAACCAGTACGAGGAGGCGCTTTTCAAGTGTGAAGACGAACGTTTTGAGATCGATATGGTGATCGAAGCTAATGCATCCACTATTAGCATCCTTGAGCCATTGGCTCAGGAGATTGAGGTGCTTAAGAAGTCGAGCGGTGACGACGATAAACTGTGGAACTATGTGGTAGATAAGGGAACATTCCGTGTGACCCACTTGAATGCGATTACGCGCATTTACGGTGAAGCAGGTTCGCAGATTCTGGAACTGCTGCGAAAGTACCCGGCTGGAGCGATTCCTATTATTCTGAAGCGACTTAAGCAGAAGGATGAAGAATGGCGTCGTGCACGTGAAGATCTAAACCGCCAGTGGAAGGAGGTTAACGAGAAGAACTACCACAAGTCACTGGACCACTCGAGCTTCTACTTTAAGCAGAAGGATAAGAAGCAGACGAGCATGAAGATGATGATGCAGGAGGCCAAGAAGAAACTGGAGGCGGACGAGAAACGTACTGAAGAAGCAAAGGCGGACTCGAATGCGTCACCGTCTACTGTTTCAGCGACGTCTGCTGTTGTGGGCGCCAAGGCTCCTCCTCAAGCGTCAGATATTGCTGATGCACTTAAGAAGGAACAATCTACTGATGCCGCGAAGCCTCCAGTAACTGCCGATAGCAAGATTGCGGCTACGTCGTCGCAGCCTAAGCAGTGGAAGCCTCACTTTGCGTACAAGTTTGCATCGGTTCAGATCCACAAGGAGGCGTTCGGCTTGCTATCATATGCTGCCGAGAAGAATTTGGGTGGAGCTGACAAGGAAAAGATCTCGAAGGTCTGGCAGTCTTTCTTCTTCCCTTTTTTCCATCTGGAGGAGGAGTGGCTGGTGCGTAAGCCACAACACACTACTGTGACGCCTGAGAAGGCTAAGACGTTGCGTGTTGGCACGGAAGTGAGCACGGAGTTTGGTGAGGGTACGGTTCAGCAGTTTAACCGAGAGAAGGGGTACTTCACGATCAATTTGGCTGCGCTCGGGTGTCAGGCGTACTTGCAGCCAAGTGCTCTCACTGTCCAAGAAGCTGCAGATTTCCCGCCCGGGCTTCCTGCACTGGACAGCAAGCAGGATGCATCCAAGGTGCTAGAAGATTACAAGTCGCTGTTCTACGGCAACCAGCATGCGTACGCCTTCCTGCGTTTGTACCAGATACTCCACAACCGGCTTGAGCGCGCGTATGATCTGTGTGAGAAGGCGAAGCGCAACCGCAATCGTCGTACTATCAACCCAGCGGCACGTGCTCTGGCCCACGCCCACCATTCTTTGTCTGCATCACCCACGGAGAAAACAGGCGACTACCAGGCGTTTGTTTCCAAGCTGTACTCGCTGATTGATGGCTCTGTTGACAATTCCAAGTACGAGGACTCTTGCCGCAGTCTAATGGGATCGACGTCGTATTTCTTGTTCACTATGGATAAGCTGGTGACGCAAGTACTCAAGCAGATGCAGCATCTGGCGAACGATGACACATGTCAAGAGCTTACCAAGGCGTTTGCTGAGATACAAGGCGAGCCAAAGCCCTCAGTGGACCCGGTAGGTGCTGAAACCAAGGCCACTGCGTACCTCAACAAGACAAAGGCCATTTTCGAAGGCGAAGGAGCGTTCCGTATCGAGTTCAAGCCTGGCGTTCTGCGTAAGACGCCGCTTGAGGCACGCGGCGGTTCTACTCCATCGGGAGCTTCTGAACCTTTCAAGATTTGGGCGCCTTCGCCTCGTGTCAAAGCCCCGGAAGCCAGTAAGTGGCTCATTGAACCCGAGTTGGCTATCGAGTACCTGGGCTCTATGGATGAAGATGGTAACGAGGACGACGACGACGACGAATCTCCGAGTGCTACGCCAGTAGATACGCCATCAGCTACACCCGTGTATGGCTCCCCCGTCCACGACACGCCTGGACGTGATTCACAGGATGACGAGGATGAACCGATGGAAGAGACCAAGGAAGATGACAGTATCAAGAAGGAAGTGTCAACGCCGGCATCATCTGGTAGCATTGAGCAAAGTGATAGTGGCTCGTCCGATGACGCGCAGTTGGCCAATGCAGCGAAGACTTTGGAGTCTGCAACATTACTGAAGAAACGGACCCGTGACTCGTCTGAGGAAGGAAATGCGGTGGAAACAGCACCGTCTACATCCAGTGTGGCAACGGAAGGTGCAATTGCTGCGAAAAAAGTGAAAACAACGGAGGCTTTTGCCGATACAGCTAAACCTACGACGGCCACACAGAAAGATGATCCCATGGCCGGAGGCGATAAAGCAATGTCTGCTCCTGCTCAGCCGAAGACTCAAACAATTACACAGGCAGTGAAAGTGGAGAAGCCACAGGAACAGACCCACAAGAGTGATCAGCTCACGGAAGGACAGACATCGTCACTACATGTAGACCAAGTAAACTCTGCGCGACCAAGTGGTAGCGCTTCTGCTGTACCTTCTGTTGCCTCCACTGGCGCTCGTGCACCAGGTCCTTCGTCTATAGTGAACAGCGACGACAAGAAGGAGTAATGAGACCAGAATTGATCAAGTGAAGGACGCAGCGAAGTTGGTACATGTGTTCGGTAATTCATGATGCTTGCCCAGTTACAAGCTTCACTCTTGTATTTTTCTTCATCTTGCAGCCTGACTGTCCTGTTGTGTTTGAACGCCATCGTAGCCCCGATATCGAGGAAGTAAAGGCAAAGTCCTGTCATCATTGCAACGTTAATGAGTAATGCAGGAGTAAATTGCCAAGGGAGCGTACATACTTTCCGTGAAGTTGTCGGCGCTTGGTCATTGTTGGGAACAAGAAGAGAAGGCCTTCGGTTTGTGGAGTCGTGTGCGGGGGATCCGCGACTGGAGACTTGTCATCTTTTGCCTTGTTCGACATTTGTACAAATTCTGCGAGACTTTTGCCTGCCACCGGGTGTTGTAAGTTGGCAAAAGCTCGTGCTGCCTTACGTTGCTGTCGAGTCATTCGCGTCGGACTCTCGATAGGAGCGACGTCCTCACCTGATACGGCGGCGACTGAAGTCTCAAACTGGTTGCGAAAGTATTGTCTCCTGGTATCGACACTGGACGTAGCATGCTTCAAAACTACCGACGGAAGCGATACGATCCTGGACAATTGAGCACCACCACTGGAGGTCCTGACATCGGATGGGAGGCCGCCAGGCTGAGAAACAGCCCGAGAACTTTCACGTGGAGAGGATAGGACCCTCGAGTGTTTATCTCCTGCGACCACTACAACATGTTGTCAACGGATGCAACGAAAGGAGTACGCCGAGCGCAAGATACAGACCTGGCTGCTTTTGGCGCAGAGCTTCGCGGAGTGAATCAATCTTGAGACGCTGATCGCAGTGTTCATTCTTGGACTCTGTTTCGACACGTTCAAGGATGAAACGCAGCGTGTCGTACGCTGTACTCTGCAACTCTAAACAATTGACAGGATGATCAGTGATCTTGAATACGATGCCACCCCAGCTACACACTTACTCTCGATACAAGCGACCACTGTTGGATCATGTCGATCGCTGGTTTCGCGAATAAAATCTTCTTGGGAGAGTGTCAAGGCATTTACAGTCGTCACTGCTCTCACAGTGACGGGCTCCGGGATCCCAAGCATCAGTGAGATGTCACCCACAGTCGATTTGGGACCAAGCGAAGCTACAGGCAGTTGCGAGTCGTCACTCCAGCGGAATCTGCGTGTATGTCGTAGCTGAGCTTCAGCAGTTGTAAGTGGTGGCTTGGAGCTGATGGAATTTGCTTCGTTGGACTGAGCAATACTCGAAGTGCTGGAGTCGTCACGTTCGACTGACGCTCGACACTCGCCTTCGAGGAGCAGGTACAAGTTGTTGAGTTGATGGCCTTCATGGACAATAATCGTACCCGGCTCAAAGACAGTCTGGCGGAGACACCCGATAAACCGCTCAAGGCCAAACTGCTTGGCCCACTGAAGACGGTCTGCTGCACCCGAGCCACTCTCTCGGATATCACTTGCCGTAAGCACAATGTAGTCCGCTGGTCCCGATATTATAATCTTGTTGTACAAGTGGATGCCCTTACGCAGGGAATTCTCGCGCTTAATGCGTCTCCATTTGCTATCCGAGACTCCACTTATTGACTGCGCTGTGTTTGATGAAAACGAAGCGCGACTCGCTTCGGAGGAAGCAGATTGTACGCGTTGTGGAGCGCCGAGGTTGCCAACAACGGAGCCTTCGGTGAAATTCAGTACTGGAGTGGTGGCAATATTCAATGGTCTGGCCTCAGCGTTGCCGTACAGGAGGATACACGATCGTGGTGTCTCCATTGAGGTTAACCAGATCACATGCTCTTCTCCTCGATGAAGGTGCTGCATTTTCATTCGACTGGCAGCTTCGAGACTACAACCAACACGATAAAGTCAGTAAGTGACTTCAGTACTACAGTGAACAGGTGGATGATGGTTTACCGTTCGGCATGTGAAAGTCCCCTCCACCATGGCTGCTCGCAGATCGTAGTTTCATTCGCCAAGTATGTGATGATGAAGCTTAATTCGTCAAAGGAAAAGTCGATTTGCCGAAGGAAGAGACCCCGAAAGTGGAACCGTGCACCTAGTTTGGTCGTAGCGTGCTGGGTGCCAGATAAAGTAGACGTCCAGTGTGTCACCCCCTGTTGCATTGCCATTCGCTGCGCCAATATCACGCGCTCACCATTCAGTCAAATTACCGACAGAACCAGAGCAACTTGCAACTCGTACCCGTTTATTATTCATGTTTGCCGACATGAAGACGAGGTTTGGACGTGTCAATATTTTTAGGGGAACTGTGATGCAAATAGCAAGTGAAATTTAAACTTCATTAGCTGATGGAAATATTTTTGAGTTGGTTCATAGATAGTCGGGGTTTCAACTTCGCTACAGAGCACGTCACATCAAACGAAACGGAGACAAAATAGTAAAGAGAAGCTGCCATTTCGCCTAGCAATAACTTTAAGAATTGTACCATGCACTCTATCAGGGAGCAAACCACAAGGGAGAAGAATTCGATCCCCCCATCTTTAAAGCAGTAATAATCACAGATAGGCATCATCGGTCCATACCTGCTCCATGCTGTTGAAGTGGCCCATGCTCGGGGCTTGTCTATAAAGAGGCATGGAAACCGGCTTGGACTGCTGCAATGCCATCGGCTCGCTGACTTGGCCTTGCTGCATGTGCGCTGCCGGCATACCACGGAAAATCGGTGCTGCTACGGATACAGGGCTGTCGTTCTTCCACATATCTCGTTGCGAGCCCTGGACGTCCAGGAGACGTTTGTGTGGGAGATTGACAGGGGCATCAGGACGGTAATGCTGAGCAGGACCAGGTCCAGACGGTCCTGAGTACATCCCTCCACGTACATTGTTCGAGTACGGATTTCCCGACATCATGAAGTTGCCTTGTTGTTGTGGTTGCATGTGGCTTGCAGGCGATCCGTAAGGTGAGTTCATCATGCCCATTGATGTCGAAGGAGGGGGAGTGCCCATGACAACGGGACTGGATGACCGAATACGCTGGATCGACGCCTGCATCGGAACGTAATCAAAAGTCTCGTTCTGGTTGTTCTGGTTCATATCATCTGTAGGGGACACCGAGCAGGGAGACGACGTCATGGACATGGGGCGACTGTAGTCCGGGTTCATCCCGTTCGAGTAGCCACCTCCGTTCAAAGGATAGACCATGGTAGGCTGTCGTAGGGACGAGGCCATCATGTTGGGGCGTTCAAAGTCGACAATCAAGTTGCCATCCTGCATCACAATAACAGCACAAGGGTCAGTAAGTATTAAATGTCACAAAAAAAAAACTCATCCGGAGCAGCGGGACTCACGCGTGTGGCGTTCCCAGGGACCTCCGAGAAGAGTCTTTGATATGTGGATTGGAAACTCACCCCTCGATGTGGAAGCTGCTGTTGTGGTGACATCTGGTGCTGCATACCGGTCAAAGATCGCTGCATTGGTGCAGGACCCACCTGGTTGTTGTTCTGCACAGGGGACGACGTGACGGAGGCCACGCGGATGCTCTTGCCCTCACGCATGGGACCTTTCTTGCGGATAGACTGCCTCTGCATGCGACGCATGGTCGAGTAGTAGCGGTTCTTGATGGCGTTGTCCGTCCTGCCAGGCAGCATCTTGGAGATCTCGGCCCACTGGTTGCCCACGTTCTTGTGGCACTCGAAGATGACGTAGTCCTCCTCAGCCGTCCATGCATCCTTGCGGACCGAAGGGTTCAAGTGGTTGTGCCATCTCTCTCGACACTGCTTACCCACTCGTCCTGGCAGGTGCATGGCGATGAGTGACCAGCGCTTGGCGCCGTATTGCTTGACGAGTTGCATGAGCTTGTCGTTCTCCTCGCGTGTCCAGGGGCGCTTGCTGTTGGAGTCAGTCTTACGACGGGCAGTCTTCTTGCTATTGTCCTCGTCATCCTCGCCGAAGGACTCCTCAGGGCTGCCATACTTGCTGCTGGTTGTGCTGCTGCCTCCGTGAGTAGCCGTGGCCCTCAAATAATTCAACTGAGGTCATAAGAACCCTTTAGTTAGAATACTATCACTACAGAGAGGGAAGAACAAACGACATACGTCTGGGTTGTGGGCCACCTCGAGGAGAGGGACCTCGCCCCCTTGGTTGCTGCTGCCCGAGTCACGGCGCAGCAGATCGAGCGTCGGACTGGGGCCGCCGCCGCTGCTGTTGTTGTTGGGGCTAGCGCCGCCGTCCTCCAGCTCCATGAGCTCCAGCTTGCGGTTCATGTCGGTGGTAGCCGTTGCTCGAGCGTTGGACGAGCGTTGGGCGAGCGTTTGGGCTTCAGCTTGAGCAGTACGAGGGCGTTTTGCGAGTGCTGTGCCGCGTCCCAAGAAGTCCACGGACTCGTGCCTTGAGTTTCGGTCTGCGGCTCCACAAGATCGATAAGTGGAACGTTTCGCGGCGGTTTCCGTCGATTTGAACCAATCAGAGACGACGGCGATGGATACGTTTTGGTCCCAAAGGGCGCGTGGCTCGCTTTGTATGGCAAAATGTATGTCCGGCAGAGAAGAGGGCTCAACGGTCGGCGGTTGCACGTCTCTTCAGTATCGTAGCGCAATTCCTCAGCAAACTCCTGATATGTATTGAATATTACAGTGTATAAGAAATTGAAATGAAAATTTACCTACTTGGGTTCAAACGAGCTCATCAAATGAGAAAGGCTATGTGATCTAAATTTTTCGCACAGGAAGATTTCACTGCTGAAACCAAGGTGTAACCCCCGGATCGGGCGTGTTGAAGCGGCGACATGACTTGCCTGTCGTCGCCAGGTTGTCCGCTGCCTGCATTGCGCTCTCTCCTCACAGTCTCCAGTCGATTTGCGTTCGTCTGCAGCGAGTGGTTACACCGCGCGTTACAGTCCGAGTGCAACCGCAGACTGTTGCCGGGTGATCCAATGATAGCATGAAACGATGACTTCCTGGCAGCGTTACGACCGCCGCAGTGTGAAGTGAACAACGCACGAAACCTCCTGTTGGCGTGGCATTCTTGGACATTCAAAGCCCTCGTTGGCAATGGTAAGTTTTGTTTACGTATTGGATGTCCATCAGACTGCAGTCAAACCGCAGTAACGCAACATGAAACTTGGAGAACGCAGACACAGGACTCACATGTACCGGATAGTGCATTGTGAATGCTGTACTGAATTCTTCGAAGTATTGCCCGGTGCAGAGCAAGGATGCTGCGCGCGACTTGGTGTTCGATTAAGCACTTGGTGAGCCCATTCGAATCTAATATCAGTGCTTCCTATGTGGCGAGCGAGCCTCGTCTCGTTGGCCATATTCACTCAAGTCCAGCGAGTGCCACGAAGTAGCTGTACCACTGCCTCAAATCGAAAGTCCTTGAAATTATTACAGTTGTATCCTGGTCTGGAGCAGGAAAATTTGTGTGCCCACTATGTGTCGCAACGCCATTGGTCCGTCCTCGCCTCTCACTTTTTGGCGGCAAAGCTGACACATTACAAAACCTACCGCCAAAAGCATCAAAACAGCGATAGCAATGACGGAGCGGTCGATTCGTGTCGTGGTGGCGGCCTTGGAAACTACGGGCGGCATCGGTCTGCGCCAACAGATCCCGTGGCACTTGCCTTCCGACATGAAACACTTCCGTGCGCTGACGACGGCTTCTTCAGACTCTCCAGCACAGCACGCGGTCATCATGGGACGCAAGACGTGGGAGTCGTTGCCAGCGAAGGTTCGGCCCATGCCCAAGCGCTACAATGTGGTGCTGACGCGCGATGCCAGCTACAGACAAACCCAAGGAGTACCCGAGACTGTGGGAGTAGCCACGAGCTTCCGTGAGGCCCTGGAGCTCGTGCAGCAACAGGGAGACAGAGTGGACCAGGTCTTCGTCATCGGCGGAGGCGCCGTGTACACCGAGGCTATGAGCTATCCTGGTTGCACTAAGGTGCACTTCACTAGAGTCAAGGGACAATTCGAGTGTGACGCCTTCTTCCCGTTGGAGCAACTCAAGCAGAACTTTAAGGTGACGGAGGAGTCCGACATCAAAGAGGAGAACGGCGTGCAGTTCCAATTCATTGAGTGGGAGAGGAAACCTGATGAAGTGAAACGTGTAGAATCAACGTCGCTACTGGACAACACGGCGCCTCATGAGGAGATGCAGTATCTGGACCTGATCCGGAAGATTCTGACACACGGAGCTAAGCGTGAAGACCGTACTGGAACGGGCACGTTGTCGGTCTTTGGAGCGCAGATGAGGTTCAGTCTGAAGAACAATGTCTTTCCATTGCTGACGACCAAACGGGTGTTCTGGCGAGGTGTAGCCGAGGAGCTACTGTGGTTTATTAGTGGAGACACAAGTGCCCACACTCTGCAGCAGAAAGATATTCATATTTGGGACGGCAATGGATCGCGCGAGTATCTGGATAGCCGAGGACTGCAGGATCGGGAGGTTGGAGACCTTGGACCGGTTTACGGCTTCCAGTGGCGTCACTTTGGTGCCAAGTACACGGACATGCATGCAGACTACACTGGCCAAGGTGTGGACCAGCTAGCAGAGGTGATTCACAAGCTGCGTACGAATCCTACTGACCGACGGATTGTGCTGTCGGCGTGGAACCCGGCCGATCTCAACGAGATGGCCCTGCCGCCTTGCCACATGTTCTGCCAGTTCTACGTTGCCAACGGGGAATTATCGTGTCAGATGTACCAGCGATCGGCCGACATGGGTCTTGGAGTGCCTTTCAACATTGCCAGCTACGCGCTGCTGACACGACTGGTTGCACAAGTGACGGGACTAAAACCTGGCGAGTTCATCCACGTTATCGGCGACGCACACGTGTACCTGAACCATGTGGAACCCCTTCAGAAGCAGCTTACACGCACACCACGTCCGTTCCCGACTCTCCTCGTCAATCCTGAAAAGGTCACTAGCATTGACGATTTCACATTTGCGGACTTCGAGGTGCTTGACTACCGTCCACATGGCACAATTAAGATGACGATGTCTGTTTAACCGCACGAAAGGACTCGCATCACATCACGGGTGCAAGTTAACCCCACTTAGATGTGTCCCTGCAGCTACCGTCTTACCCCGCAAATTAGACATAGGTGTTCTAAACGTATACAACGCTGCTCGTGTGCTCTATTCGTTTATATCGCCTGTGTTATATATCAAGGATACAGTCAATCAGAAGAACGACATATTGTGGGTTCTAGAATGTTGCTATACCGATTATACACTCAATTATTTGACGTCAGCACGACCAGCAAGCTGGTCTCCACAGGTCGTTGAGCTATGTGGTGTAATCTTCCTCGTGGTGTGAGGCAGGCTACAGCTTTTAATTACCAAAATAATAATTGTGCAAAATGCTTGTTGATAGATACTGTAACTTCGCAACCTGCTCATTGTAAATTACCTGGAATTTACCGGAGATTAGGATGTCGCTGACTATCAGCTACCGGACAATCCTCCGGTATTTTCCGAGATAGTGAATAATTACCATACAAAAATACAGCTATTTGTTGCTAGCAGCCAAATAATGGAAATTACCGGACAGCCATCCGGCGATCAAAATAAAGAGGTGTCGAACGGTCACTCCGACTCTCTCCTATTAGTGCTACCGATGGCTACAAACGACGCAAG